GAGAGAGAGAGAGAGAGAGAGAGAGAGAGAGAGAGAGAGAGAGAACCCCCGTATGAACTGGGGCCAAATGCACACAATTGATTTGCTCACATTCATCCCATATTACTTTGCATTTCCCATCCTCTACCCTCCCTGTCTTATTTCTCACCATTTTCAGACTTCAAATTGCACATTTTTTTAGGTGGGGTTGATGAGGAACGGGACTAGTCCTTTTGTTTCTCTTGTTATTATCTGCAGCCAGTGAGTGGGGCTGCAGAGGGAGGGAGCATCCATTCCATTAGTGAATGGACAGCACTGGATGCAAACTGAACTACTCACAAGACTTTGGATGGAAGAGAAGTTGGTGAAAATCAGAGGACCAAGAATTACCAGAAGGAAAGAGCCACTATGCAGCTCTTTTAAAAGGAAGGAGTAGACGCTCTTCTTTAAAAATAACACATAGTCATTGTAACTAGGGAGGGGGAAAGGCTGTCATAATATTGTCATGGAACATAGTGAGAAAAGGCTGGGCAGAGGAATTTCGGAATTTGAGTAGAGAAGAGCAATGAAGCAGTGGGAGTCTAGCCAGTTATGGTAGCCAAGGTAAGCAGCACATGGATAAAGATTTAGCAGTACGTACTGAGAAGAAAGAACAGCACTGGGAGAAGGTAAAGTGCAAGTGGAAGAGTCTGCACATGCAACTTGCAAGAAGAACATAACCCTGGCCATGCAGTGCAGGCACTTCAAGTTCCCTGTTTTGCATCATGCATAGACAGAAATGTGGAGCATTAGCCCTGCCCTCTGGATGTCACCTGTGGGCTTCTCTACACAAGACCGTCTTATGATCCTGCACCCACAGGGCCTTTTCACCTAGCCAAGCCCGTGCTCTCCAGCATTTTTAGCTTTTTTTAAGATTGAGTAAAATTGTTGTGATTTAAAATTTAATACCCAAACTGGAACAGCCTCACAAGACATTATAAATCTACTGTGCTGCAGCTATGCCACAGGCCACCTTGTGTCATTCTATCTACTAGCATAATACATAGCAAGGCAAAAAAAGAAAAAGAAACCCCAGGAAAAAATCCCTTGTAAAGGACACGGTTTTTTTCCCTGTAACAGAAATGGAAGAGGAGGCCTCTCCTAGCACATGAGAAACTCCTCATGTAGCAAAGCCCTGAGCACCCACTTTTGGTTGCCTCATTCATTTATTTTATCATTAATACATATACACCCCACTTCAAATGAGTGTTCAGAGCAATGTGCAATGTAAGTGTATGCAATCACTGATCCACAGAAATAAGCCAAATGCAGCACACTGATGCAGGCAAAGTCATAATGAGAAACAGAAGGAGAAAAGCGACAGTGTGGCGCTTACCAAGTTTATCCACACTGACCCCTTTGGCTGCTGCTAGCTCTGACTGAACGAAGTCATAATCGTATCTGCTCTGCTCCTCACTGGTGCGATCTGAAGGTGGCCCAATGTAGAGGTATGCGTTGTTTGACCCCAAAATAATACGGTCCTGAGGGATGGAGTGCACAGTGCTTACTGAAAGCATTCCCATTGCACAGTGGATTGCTAGGCATTATATACTCAGAAGCAAGGCAGAAACAATGAAAGCTGAGATCAGAAATTTGCTCTTCACAAGAATGTGTATAGTGGGTAAGAGACCAAGTTGGGATCTCCTCATCTACATATGGACACAACAGTGAGTCATCTAACTTAAAGGGCTATGGTACATTCTAAAGCATGAGGGGTTAAATCTATTCTGCTAGTGAAAATCTGTTAACACATTCGGAGTTCCCCTCCCCCTTCTCCGCTGCAGCCTTCCGTGCTTCCCTAAAATCTGCTTTGGGGTTCCCAGGCCTCCAGAGCAAATTTTGATGATTCCCAGGGGTGGAGGAGGAACTGCACCTCTGTTTCTGCTTATGAAAATGCTCCCATCCGTGGGATGGCACCATCTGAACAAAGGGAAATGTTCAGCATATTCTAAATGAAATAGTATCTAAACCAGAACAGGTGTGGGATGCAATATTTTAAAATACATTAAAGATCCAGAATGAATCATGAGCTCAGACTCTAAAGTAAATGTGCCTTTTAAAGTGTCGCTTATTCAATGCAATCAAAAAATCTGGCATACAGCACTCCCATGCTATGTCTTTCCAGTTTGCCAGGTGCCTGATAGGCCTCCTGATTTTGTTGCCTGGGAGCAAATGCTAATGCTGGGGGCGGCATGTATGTTAAGCTCCTGGCAGGTCATAACTCAGAGCAGCAAGGCTGTGTTCAGTTCAGTGGTCACAAGTATACTAGTCTGCTTTGACTGAAGCTGTTTCTTTAAAACACACAAATATTTCTATTTTAATTATTAAGTTCCCTGCACTTTCTCAGCTCCTCTCACAAGATTCCAGGCTGGCAGTTCCAGACCCCAGTTTGCTTTTAATATTCCAGAAGGCACAGTGCGGGGCCAAGCCAAGACACTTCGCTGCCTGAAGCGAAGATATTGCCCCTTCCCATCCCATGCACAAAAGCTGGCTGGACCGGGATGCCAGGACAGCTTTCTCCAGTGCACCTGAAGGCAGCAGGCTACCTTGGGGCAGGCCCCGTGTTACACAGGTCTCCCCTCGAACATCTGGAGGCCACCTCCCAGCATCTGCCACTTGAGCCAACATCTCCACTCTGCCTAATGGTAAGGCCAGCCCTGCAGAGGTGATAGTGAAGAAACAGGGTTGGTTCGGTGGGCATATGAGGGCTTTCACAATCGTCTTTGTCAAGGAAGCTCACTGGAAAGAGACTACAGTTCCAATGCTTCACTAGGTAATGCAATAAAGATGAAAACCACACCGCACATTCGAGTACAGGGGAACTGTTACCAAATGAAGAACATACCAGATGCTGTAGTTTAGTTTTGAAAACAATGGGCACACCATTAACAATGACTTTACATCTGTCTCGAGGAGTTATGGTGACTTTTCCATCCGCGTTTGTGATCGTTGCATGCTTATCCAAAATACTGAAAGATGGGGGAAGAGGAAGAGAGAAGGGGGTGATTCAAAGCCATGATTTTCCCTAGCTCAACTCAGGGTGAAAATGGCTAAAATTCCAGCTAATATAAAGAAGGCAAGGTAATTCTGTGTAAGGCACTGGTAAGGCGTCACTTGGTATAAGATCGAAGGAGGGGGAAATGATGGGGAGAGCCCAAAGTTCAGTGGTAGAGCCCATCCTTTGTATAGAGTAGGCTTCAGGTTCACCTCCTACAAGCATTTGCAATCAACAGTTCTTAGGCCTAGGAAAGAAAATCCTGGAGAACTCCTACCACACAAAGTGAGCAGTATGGGGCTGGATAGATCAATGATTTGGAAAACTGCAGAGAAATGCTGTTTCGATGAGCAGGGGAGAGCCAGTTTGGTGTAATGGCTAGAGTGTTGGTCTAGGACCAAGGAGATCCAGCTCCAAGCCCTCATTTAAACAAGAAGCTCACTGGATGCACCTGGGCCAGTCACTAGCCATCAATTTAAACTCGTGGTTTTCAACCTTTCCACAGCTGGGGACCGACAAAGACAGGAAAACCACCTCGGAGACCGCTGAGGCAGAAACAAAAAGCACCATACATATACTGCAGTATTCTGTGTATTAGTTTCCAAACACAATACCAAAATAATGAAAATTCTCCAAAACAACCAGAAACCAAGCAACAAAAAACTGCCAACAAATGAACACAATACCAAAATTAGTGTGGCATGGCTCCCAGCCAGCTCCCACGGAGCCATCTCTCCCCTCTCTGCCCCCCCCCAGCAGCACTGGTGTACCCCCCGCAATCATGATGCCAACCAAGGAAGAGGTGGTGGAGCACAGCCAGCCCGTGCCAATCCACGGCGAGTGGGATGCAGCCCCCCCATGGACTGGCAGGAAATCTTCCGCTGATCCTTGGACCAGTGGTTGAAACCCACTGGTTTAAACTACTTCACAAGCCTGCTGGTGCATAGAATGGGGAGAGGAGGACTATGCTTGCTGTTTTGAGCACTTCGTAAGAAAGGCAAGATATAAATACAATAATAAAAAAACAAATCTTTGGGGATTTAAGCTTGGATTGAAGCTCAGTTTATTTTTCCACTTCATTACCATGTAAGCAGGAGTAATAGAACCACTGATTAAATAGAGCAGATGGTCTAAACCCAGTTAAGGAAAATCCACACCCACACAGAAAGTTGACTGGGATATTTTGCAGTATAGAAAGTGCCCTAGTTGCTGCAACTAGTAGTAATTTTAGCTAGCAAGTGCTGTCTTGAAATACACTTCTTATATTTGTTTCTGTAACCCTCCCTAATGGGAAAATAATAAAAATCAAATCAAGTTATCACATAGATACTTTGCTGAAGATACTTTGCTGCCTGTGGCAGAATAGCAAATGGTGTCCTCCTGTCCATCCATCCATCCATCCATCCATCCAATCGTAGTTACTCCGGCATGTGAGAAAGAAAATCACACAAGTAACTTTTCTATCCATGATAAGAAATAAATAAATAACTATTTTTTTCAGTGTGCTACCCTGGGCTGTTGCCTCACTTAGCCTCATGGTAGGGCTGGCCCCTCACATAGCCCATTCCAGTTTCCCTGTGAACAAAGGACAGAAAAGCAGTGAGTTTCTGTACATACCCTAAACCTCGAAGGGCTATTGCATTAGAGGATGACTGGCCAACATCAAAAGAACCTGAAATAAAGCATTTCTCTTATCAGTTTGCTTTGCAAGACTGCAATGAACATTCCCACCATAGATGTTTCGATGCCTGCTCAAACCAAATGTGCTGAGTCCACATGGCCCTCAGTCTGACCAGAAGACGACCAGTGAAGCGGCACCAGAGGTCCTGCGTCGCTTGCTGGAACCATCTAGGTGGGGTCAATTCACTGGAAGCTGGAGGTGCAGGGAGAAGCTTATGCAGATTTACCCAGTTTTCAGTATAGGGACTTCTAGTACCAAACTGCCACGCAGTTTCCTATACTTCGTGGACTTGAAAGGCAGCTTAGCAAAAACTGATAGTATATGAGCACTATTAACCCAAAATTTCACTGCATTTGAGGATCCCAGCAGTTTTATTTGGGTATCGAAGCACAGAAACATAATTCCCCCTGGAGAGCTAATCACAATGGTATACCAAGGTGAGCACTGAGCTGATTTTAGAATATTATTTTAATTTACTACGTTATATGAGATTTGTCTAGAAGATTTAAGGTATTTTTCTGTTTTTTGTTTTAAATCTGCTAGGGAGCAATTCTGTGACCCCTAGACATTGTCTGAAGGGACATAGGATTTTTCAGATTCCCAGATCCAAGGCTAGTGATTGCATTAATAACTTGGACCTGAGAACTGGAATGCTGACCCACTTCTCCTGCCCCTCCCCACAAGCCAGTGCCGAAAGAACCACACCAGCTGTTCTCCAAGGTCAAGAAACTGACCCCAGAGAGGGATAGAAGGCGCTGTTTTGGGGGAAGGGGAGGACATGCAAGCAGCCAGGATATGAGGTTATCCTTGTACCTCCTTGAGCTGCCATTCCTCCAGTTGGGGAATGCTAGCTTACACTGATATCGTTTAATAATATAAAATGAAAAAGCCACATAAGCAACAACAACAACAATGCAGCGCAAAAATTAAATACCATTCTGAATGAAATATTTCAGCACCCCGGAAAGCTGAGGGTCTTCATTGATATTCACAAGATAAGGAAAGGTTTCCATCATCCATCGCTCCTGTGGAAAAGTTTATTAAACCTCATTTCAGCCCATGCTTCAAGTGTCAGCTGGAAAGTATGTGATGCACAGCTTCTAAACAATGTAGTCTCTGCTTCTTCTTGGAGGAATCTGAAATAATGGACTATTTATCATGCACCTGCCACATTGAATAATGCTAGGGTTTAATGGAATTCCTTAACTCTTTCTCTGATGAAAAATTTAGGTGCTTTAATAATTAAGACATGTTGAACTGGTGAGAATCTATATTAACCTTAACATTGATATGGCTTAATCTGTCCAGAACTGCACGATGCAAGAGTGCTGAGTCACATGTGCTTCATGTTCAATCTCCAGCTTCTCGGGGGCAGGGGGCGGCTGGGAAAGGCCCACACCAAAGCCTGGAGAGCTGCTGCCAGAGGGCATCAGGAATATGGGCCCACATGGTCCAATAGTCCCACTTAATACACAGCTCTGTTCTCTCCGTTCCTCAACATTGCACAGACTGCTGGATCCTGTATTTAATGCTCCTGCTAAGTGATTACATAGCACTATGGCCAAACACATGTTTTTACCACTGATGGAAGGTGCTCTAAGGTCCTTTTTTGTAGAGCTGCTTCCCTCCTCCCCAGCACACGTGAGCCTGTTCCTTATGTTTTGCACTCAGTTCTCACATCATCCTTCAACATGGGAATTCTACAGCCCAGTTATCAGTTGGGGGACAACCATTTCTACCTCAAAAAGGGCAGATTTGTTGCTCGTCAGCCTGCTGTGACAAAATAACTGAATCCTATCAGAAGTGTCCATTGCTCACTTCAATAAGCCTTTGCAGGTGCAGAGGTCTGGCATGTAGACAGAGCCTTTCCTAGAAGGAAGAGCTCTCTCATTCCTTTCAGTGGGGAAGGACATAAAACAAGCACTGCTTTAGGCATGCAGAGGTGTCTTCCCCACTGAAATGACTGGGCAAGCCAGTTTGCTCAGAGCATTAAGAGGCTATTATGATGCTCTAGACAAGGCAGGTGGTCATATTAACTAGATTTTAAAATGTTCTCAGCACTTTGCTCCATCAGTGATCAGTTAGGAGCTCCTGTGGGGCAGCTCCAAAGCTAAGGAGGATGGAGACAGGCGTGGCAGGCACTGAGAAGGCGGGACCTGAGTTACTGCTGCATATTGCTGCTCCCACTCTTTTCGGGCTTCTTCCAGCCGATATTCCCAGGTGGCCTGAATGGCTTGGATCCGCAGTTCATTTTCAGCTAACAAACAGCGAAGCTCTTCTGGAAATGGGGAGAAATGTGGAAAGAAGGGTGTTATGTGAAAACAACAAAATAGAACTCCTTTTTCAACAGTCAACACATTCTCTCCCTACATTAATATTTGGTACTTTATTAAGCCTGTATGACATATAGCAGACCTAAAAATGTGTGAAGCATATATGTGCGCCATCTAGAGCAAAAAACCTCTAGATATCTCAGGATCAAAACGTCAGTCGTATGTTCATGCACCTCTGTTGTACAATAGCTGAATTGATATAAAATTGAGAAGGATCCAGTGACTGTTTTATTATCCTGGTTAGAATTTTTACAAATTAAGTATCCTTTATGTAAATTTGATTCATGTTATCTGCGAATCACTGCGTTGTAAATGCTGTCCAGTTATAAGATCAAAAAAGTATTTTATTTAAAATTGTGAGGTCTGTCCTACTTGCTGAACATGGAGCCCTGACCAAACTGTGTCTTTAAATCAATGCCACCAAGTTGGAATGAGCTGTGGGGTCCTAGGCTTGCAACCCGTATTTTGCAGCCCCGCCCAGTGCATCTTGGGCTGAGTCATTCTAGCCCTGAAAATACTCTAGAGCTACCCATATTCAAGGGGTGTGGCCTCCACCTTTCCTTTCACTTTCTGTAGACTATTGCAACAGCTCTAAGAAAGGTAAAGACATAGCCATACCTTCCTTTTTAAGCTGCTACCCAGGCTGGGAGACTTTGCAAGATACATTCTCATTTCCACTGCCTGAAATCCTCTCTCAATCATTTACTATCATTGAAACCTCTTGAGGAACTCTTTACATGGACACTATTTCCAATTTGGACCCTTGTCTCTTGGTTTTATATTGTTAAAGAACCAGCCATGAAAACTACTATGACACATTTCATAGGATGTAAATTCTTATTTGCAGGGAATTGTGCATCTTCACCAGGGGTAGCCTGAAGTTGCCAAATGGCTTGGACTGATCCTGAATCTGGGATTTTTCTATGTCTGGATGCATGCAACAATGAGATATCAAATTAGAAGCCATGGTTGCTAAAGTTAAAGCAGCTAAAGTCTTTGCATGTGCAGGATTTCTCTGGACTAATTCTTTGGCCTGTTTTGCGTTTTAGATTTGATGGATCTTGACCAATGGAATGATTTGAGGCTGGAGTAAACCTTTGCATGTGTGGATTTGTTCAGGTCTTCATCTAGAACCCTTGCCTCTGATCGTCGAAGGTTTACCTCAAGAACCATTCAGCCCCGTGCTCCTTGCATTTGACTGGCTGGGAATGCTGGCTTCAAGAGTCATTCACACCATTTTCCTATTTCTGGGACCACAGTGCTTACTACAAGGAAACTGTTTGTTTTTCTGACAAGGCCATACTGACTAACTTTGGATTATTGTGGTTACTTATGGAACCAAGAGCTAACTGTCACCACCTCTATGGTTTTTTGAAGACCGTAACCATTAAACATAGGTTTTATTTCATTAAAAGAGGCTTGCTGAGAATGCCAGTTCATGTGTACATGTGTGTATGTATGTGTGTGAAGCAACAAGCCCATAATACTGAAGGCACTTTGGTGAGTAATCCTACTCTCTCAATAATCCCACCTTCTCACCACCATTGACACCAGCTGCTATGGCTCCTCAACCTCTTTCTTCTCATTGCTACCACTTACTTGTTTAACAGGCAGAGAGCCAGAGAGCAAGTAAGGAGAAATACCTGCTCCTCTTCTTCAGCACCCGAACAAGAGGGAGGAGAACAAACAGGCTGCAATGCAGGGGTGAAGGAACAACTCAGAGCGGTGGGGGTGCCAGTGGGCACCTGATGGGGTGTGGGTCCTTGGCAAGTGCCCATTAAAACCCCATCTTGACACTGGTCTGGCCTACTGGATCCAGACGTGAACGGCCATGTATGATCTCTAGAAACAGGAACAGTAGAAAACGTTGTGGAATGGTCTTCTCACCCAGTATGTGTGATGCTCTTACTCTGTAATACGTACTTGTTTCATCTGCTACTGTTTTGCCAGAATTTCCAAGGGCAGACAATCTGGAAATCAGTTGACAATTTTCTGTCTTCAGCTCATTTATCAATTTTGCAGTTGGACCTGTATTTACCACCGCCTTGTTCTTTATCTTCTTTGTTCTTTCAGATGAAAAACAAACAAGGAAAAACACAGTTATTGTACTATCTCACAGCCACAAAGAAAAGAATCCTGTCAGTGACAACTTGAACTGTGCAAAACAATAATTATGCCAACATGATGATTTGTTGTGGGCTGCAAGGCTCTTGTTCCTTCTTGCAGGGTAATCAGCAGCTTATCTCAGCTTTCTTGCTGCTGCTCATGACTAAAATCAGACTCCATTTAGTTACACATTCAGATCTTCACTAAAGGCTCCTAAACACCTGCAGCAAGGAATTCCAGGGGAGATAATCAAAAATAGTCAAGTCTTTGAGCTTTCAAATGCCAACTGAACTTAAATTACTAAAAACCAGCAGTACTGCTTAGACAGGACTTTGGAACAAAAGGACGGGGCTCTGAAGCAAGAAGCTTCCCCTGAGCAGGGTTATTTTGAAATAAGTGAAGTAATTCAAATTAACATGCTCCACCTCATAAAAGCTCACAGTACCACTTGAGAAAACACAGTTCTTTCAACATTTTTGCTAAGCTCCTACTGGCATGGTGACCCCTGAATCAACCAAACAATCTTAAGTTGTTAGCAGTGTAACGAAGAGACTCTCGTGAAGTAAGGCAAGTTTGGGGCAATTGTAGGCCTGTTTTGCTGCTGAGCCATATGGGCCTGCAAGGTACGTCGCGCAGGCAGGCATAGCTCAGGTAACATTGCTCAGGGAATGGCCATTTTCTGTTCTGGCCAGCTGCTTGCAGCCCTATTGCAAGTCCCATAAAGCTTCTCTAGGGGAACAGTTTTAAGAGGATAAATTTGCACCATCCACAGATGATGCTCTGTCAGCAGATGGACACAATTTCACCCATACTGAACAAGCCAAGTTTCAGTCAGTAGGACCTGCTATTGGAAACTGTCTCCTGCAACTTTTCAGTAGAAACCCCTTGGACAGTCAGTAGTTTCTTCCTCATCAGGGACCTGGAGAAGCTTAGTGACAACAAGGCGGCTGATTCCAGAAGGTGGTGCTGGGGAACTTTGGCTCTGTGCCATGGCAGCTATGCCATGGAGTACTGCAGGGTTCCATCTTGTCCCCCTATCTACATGAAACCGCTGGGAGAGGTCATCAGGAGGTTTGGGCTGTGGAATCATCAGTATGCTGATGATACCCAGCTCTACCTCTCTTTTTCAACTGATCCAGGTGAGGCAATGGCTGTACTGAACCAGTGCCTGGCCGAGGTAATGGGCTGGATGAGGGCCTGAAACTTAATCCAGACAAGACGGAAGTCCTGTTGGTGGGTGGATTGAGTTCCTGGGTAGGTGGCCTGGACCTTGCCCTGGATGGGGCTGCACTCCCTCTAAAGGACAGGGTCCGCAGCTTGGGAGTGCTCCTCAACCTGGAGCTCTCCTTGGAAGCTCAAGTGACTGTGGTGGCAAGGAGCGCTTTCCTTCAACTTCGGCTAATCTATCAGCTGCGTCCCTACCTGGAGGAAGACTGCCTAGTGACAGTGACACATGCATTGGTTACTTCCCGGTTGGATTTCTGTAACGCGCTCTATGTGGGGCTGCCCCTGAAGACAGTCCGGATACTTCAGATGGTGCAAAACAGAGCAGCCAGGTTGCTGATGGGGACTGGGCATTATTCTACATAACCCCAATCCTCTACCAGCTTCACTGGCTTCCCATCGAAGTCTGGGCTCAATTCAAGGTGCTGGTTATTACCTATAAAGCCCTTAACGGCTTGGGACCTGGATACCTGAAGGAACGCCTTCTTCCATATTTGCCCTCCTGCCCCTTGAGATAGGCAGTAGGTGCTCTCCTCCGGGAACCCTCCGTGAAAGATATTAGGAGGCAAAGTACCCGGAGGAGGGCTTGCTCTGCGGTAGCGCCCCATCTATGGAATGCGCTCCCCAGAGAGGTCTGCCTGGCGCCGTCATTTGTTTTTCGGCACCAGGTTAAGACCTTTTTATTCCAGCGATATTTTAATAAGTTTTAATATTGTCTTCTCTATGTTTTTAACTGCAGCCAGTGTGGGTCGGGAATTTATTTATGTTCTGTTTTATGCTGTAAGCCGTCCTGAGGCTTTTTGCGACAGGACGGCATATAAATACTTTAAATAAATAAATAAATAAGGCTTGCCTCATGATATATAATACCAGGTGAAGAGAAGGGGGGAAGAAAAAGTTTTCAAAACCAAAATATTAGAATTTCCACACAGTCAGGGTGCAATCCTATGCAAGTTTAGATAGGAAAAAGTTCTAGTCCCCACTACGCTATGCAGCTCACTGGTCAGTCACCGATGCTCAGCCTGACCTACCTCACAGGGTTGTTGTGAGGATAAAAATGGAGAAGCAAAGGGGGGTTACTAAGCTACCTTGGGTTCCTTGCAAAAGGAAAAAGTAGGATATAATGTAATAATAAAAATAAAACCAACAATAAATAATAGCAATAATTTTTATAGAGCTCCCAACTAGGTTCTATACAGAAGAATGCATGCAGCCAAATAATTTGCAATTTATCATAAATAAACAGTGTCCTGTCTCATTTTGGACTCTAATCCAATAATTTTCTTTACAGGATATGAAAACTAATATACCTCTCGGCATATCTCAGAGTTGACAATGTCTCTTCATAGCACATGTCTGCTGGACTAATTGCTGCAATCTGCACATATGTAAACAAATATCAAAAGTGGTTAGATTTTCAATTATTTATCTAGGGGTTTTTTTGCTTTTGCCTTTGCTTTTGTTTTTGGTGAATGTAACTAATGGAACAGGCATTTGCAACTGGCAGCCCCTTTGGTCAAACATGCACCAGGCCTAGGGGAAAGTTGCCCGGAGTGTAGCAATGGAAAAGGTCTAGATTGCTGGTTGGTCCCCAGGAGCAAAGCAAACAAAAACCTCAGGAGACCAATACTATTATTAGGATCAACAGAAATAATCAAAACGCATATGCTTCATCCTTGTATGTTTCTCTATTTACAGGCTGCATGTGAAATTGATCCTTTCCATTCTGAAATGTATTTTGCTAAGCTTTATCAGAGGTTTGATGTGAGTTGTTTTGGAGGTTTTTTGTCATTGTAGACCAGAATGTTGAAATGAAAATGTGAGAACATAAGAGTGTATACTTCTTCCACATCCTCACCATCCAGAAAATCTGACAATTTTACCATAATTGTTCTGCTGTTTCCTCCCAAAGCAGACTGCAAGAGCTTTGTAAGAACTGAATCTCTGTATGGGATATGCAGCACTTTCTTCCCCATGGCAGCCTCAGCCAGAGCACTGGAAGAAAAATAAACAACAGGGGAAGAAGAGAGTGAGCAGGGCATGTACTCTGGGTACAAGTCCAGTGCAGTCCAATGCATGTTTGATCAGAAGTAAGCTATATCACAGCAGTGCTTACTAGCCTGTAGGCATGCAAATAATTGCACTGTACTCATATTTGTCCTGCAATTCACAGTTTACATCAAGATCTATTTACCGGATGGTTGTCAAAGATAAATGAGCCATACATTTCTAATACGAGTTGATCTGAGAAGCAACCATTTAAGAATCACCAGATGGGGTGGGTATGGGTGATATTCAGGAAATCCTACAAAAATTGACAGTACATTAATAGTTTGATTTAATAGCCCAAATAATAAAAATTTACTCAAAGAAGTCAGCAGAAAATGTTACTGTTGAGACTGCGACAGCCTGTTCTTGAATTTAGAAAGAAGAGTCCCTCATTTCTGAAACAAGGTCCAGAATAACATTGACCTCACAGAGGTCTCAGATTTTGGATTTCTGAGAGTGAAGATTATTATTTACTGTTTTTAACATAGCATAATCAATGTATGTAGCACTTTAAAGAACAACAAACAAAAAGACAGGACCCTGCCCCAAAGAGGTTACAATCTAACATTTAATCTAGGTGGCTAATCTAAAAGAAATGAAGAGCAGTTGTCATTTTTCTAATGCAATACCCAACCCATGGATGGCTGACCTGACTAAGTCTCTTTTGTACCTGATAACATTTCCCAAGGTTGTCAAGCTCAGATTTACACGGGTCCCTTCCCTCAGCCTGTCTCCTTCTGATCCTGAGAACTTTTGTCTTTCACTTCCTGCCAAGTCCACCATATTTATAATGGAATGTTTAGTAATGTCTTCTTTCAGAAAAATCTGCAAGAAACAGCATTGGGAAAGGACAGAGCACAATCCAGCATGAATCCTGCCTGCGCAAGCTCTCTTTACCAAGTTCTCTTTCTCTTAACGGACATTCATGAAACACACATTCCTAGTGGGTTTTGCCCATCATATCCAACATCTGTTTTTCACAGGTTGGTATGATGATAAATGGTCAGCATAAATGATGAAAATATGCGCTCATGCATCTGCACAAAGCAAGACTGATGTTGGTGCCCAAAACAAAAATGAGTTGCAACCCACATATCCAAACAGGCAAAATAAACTTACAAATTGCAAACCTAGCACAAAAAAGACAATATTACAAAAACACTATACAGGTCTGGGGGTCCTAGAATTCCCTTCACTTAAGAAATGTTTGTGTTTTCTTTACAGACGGTTGTGGGGGGTTTGCTTTGGTCAATGAAGTTGATGAAAATGAAAGCGAGTCCGCAATATGAGACAGTTCAACCATCTTTGCCGCAATATGTTTGTAGCCCTTGCCCTTGGGGCTGTTTGCTTCACTAATGACTGCTGCTTTGCAGTAGCATAAGCTTGTCCTATGCTTTAACCAAGCTATCAAAACTTGCAGGTCCTGTCCAGATGTGTGAGAAACTCCTGTGTGATCCAAGCCACAGGTGGATTAGCTGTTTCCTAATATAAAGTGCCCTGTCTTTGACAGTCTATTCATACATCCACAGAAGACACAGTGCATTAAAATCTGATTTTCACATGCATTTGTTAAGTTCTGTGAATAGACCACTGCTTGAGATTATAGTACTATACCTGTTTGAAATGGATGGTGATAACCATGTGAGACCGACTGCTGGTGGCATTCATGGAGGTTGAAGCAGTGGTTCTTATTTTGGTACCTTGTTCCATCAGCCTCTCAATTTGTGCATAACTGTCGCAAGGCACCTGCTTCAAACCATCCACGTAGAAACCTTGGTGCTGATCTTCTCTTACCTTCAGCCCACCACGCTTCTTGATTTTCGATAGCAAGTCTAATACCTTGGATTGCAGACAAAGTTTCTTAGAGTAAGTTTACATGGAAAATAAAGAGGGGCACATCTTGGTGGGCAGGAGAAATGATGTCACAGAGGTCAAATATTCACCTTTATGTGCAAAGGTTTTGTACCTCTGGCATCTAGCCACCCCATGGGCTCATTTTCATTGTTACCATAATTGAAGAACTGACAACTTAACTAGATACATGGGTGTCCCTGAAGAGTTATATGTAGTCTAAAACACATCGTTAAGAGAAAAGTCATGCTGGATCAGGCCAAATGTCCATCAAGTCAACATTCCGTTCATACTGTGGCCAACTAGATGTCCATGGGAAGCCCACAAGTAGCAGATGGTCACAGTAATACCTTCCAACCCATGTTCCTCAGCAACTGGTGTACATAGGAATACAGCATCTGATGCTGGAGATAGTGTATAGCCATGAGGACTAGAAGCCATTGATAGTCTCCTCCTCCTCCTCCTCGAAATTGTCTAATTCCCTTTTAAACCATTTAAATCAGTAGCCATCAGTACATCTGTAGGCATGCATTCAATTTCTCCTGGCTGCTCAAATAGCATGCTTGCTTATCAAATTGTACAGGGAAATGAGAAATTCTTAAAATGAAATGCCCAATTGCAGCATCAAGCTTGCACAAACCTTTGTATATTGAACATTCTTCAGTTAACTAGACATGGCTGAGAAATAAACAAGAACATGCTTCCACAACCAGGTGCCACACAGGTGGGTTGGACTGTAAGTCTCTTTCTTTTTGACACCAGGTGAAGACCTACCTTTTTGGAAAAAAATTTAACACTTAGCCCCTGAATGCGGTGCCCCTTTTTTAAATTGTTATAGATGTTTTAGTTTGTTAGTGTTTTAATACGTTTAATATGCTTAATGTATTGTAAGTTGCCTAGGAAGGCCTTGGCAGTTATAGGCAGCCTATAAATATGTGTATAAATAAATAAATAACACCTCTCGTCATGACCAATGATTGTGCTATCTGGGGTGGATGTGCATTGCCATCCAACAAGTCTGGGAAGCACCAGGTTGAGGAGGGATGTTCCAGAGTTTCATTTTCCTATTGGGAGTGTTTATGACAAGGGATGGAGCAAACAAATTAAAGAAAAATGCCTGCAGATTAAAGAACAGAGATCCCAGTGTAGCATTCATATTTGCAGAACCAGGATCTGCTGGTCTGGGCTGGAGCTGGCACCTCTCCACTCAGCACAAGTGCTATTAGGGGACTGTTGGCTTTTGGCCTAGGCAATCTCCTCCCACACTCACAGTTGTTTCCCCCACCACCTCCAGTCAGTGGTGGTGAACCCAATTAAGTGGTGAACCCTTTTCCTGAGACCTGCTGAGGACGTGGTATGCAGGATTGCTGCAGTGCCACATGACTGGGTGTAAAAGCCCTGATTTCATTTTTAAAATATTATTAACACCCTTCTGGAAAATGTTCAGGTTCCCGTCTCTGTCTCAGTGCTGCTCCCCTATGGAACAGAAATAAATGGTTTCCAGAAGTGGGAGGTTGAAAAATAAGGAAGAATTAAATAGTCAACCTTACTGTAATTACCTGCTCATTATAAATTTCCAGCATACTAAATGTAACCTAAAAATTGAAGAGAGATATATCAAAATAGGTTCAGCACCTTCACTATTAACAGTTTACAGATACAATCCTATGCACATTTCCATGCAGGGAAAAGCTAACACCCAGAATGCTCTAGAGCAGTGGTGGCAAACCTATGGCACATGTGCCGCAGCGGGCAAGCAGAACTCTTTCTGTCAGCACGCGAGCCAAGTCGCCCTAGCAGCCAGTCATCGGATAACATGTGCATGCTTGGAAAGGAGTAGCGGCACCAGGTGATGACATCACGAGCCGCAACTCATTAGCCACAACTCATCCGAGCTTTCACATGGATGGTCAGTGCGCTGCCAAGGATAGATAAATAGATATGCTTGGACTGGCTGTGAGTTGTTTTTTCTAAACTAAAACCTCCGTTTTCAGGTTTTATTGCAGTGTTGGCACTTTGGGATACATAAGTGGGTTTTGGGTTGCAGTTTGGGCACTCGGTCTCTAAAAGGTTCGTCATCACTGCCCTAGACAAACATGCTAGGACTTGTAGGCTTTCTGTCTAAACTGGCATAGGATTGTACCCCAAGTCAATTTAGCAAAATTCAGCAATGAGTTCCACTTGTAAAACTGATACAGACCTTATTTTGTCTCCTGAACTACACAATGTTTTTGTCTCCCATGTGCACCCGGTTTGCACTTTTTCTGGTTGTATTTTTTCTAGCTACTAGAGTCATTCTCTTGAATAGAGAGTTTTAAAAACTGAGTATGTTTTTTGAAAATCAGAAATATTCATTACTCCAAACAACAATACATCCAAATCAATATAACATATGTCAATGCATAAACACACTTCTGATAGACATTATGACTGATTTGTTACAAGCATCTTTTTGTACTTACTCTGTATACTAATGCCTAAGGATTTTATATACAGTGGATGGATTGGAACACCTGTGATTCCTATTCAAAAGGAACTCTTTTTGAGAAGCAGCCATAAACATCACCCGCCACACATGTACATATGCTCTGCCTGCCTCCATCAGGACTGAATTCGGGCCAAGATGGAGCAACCAAGAGGCTTCCTCCATGGATCCCAATCATTTTCAGGTTGTGTGTGAGGGAGGCCACGTGCCCTCTTTGTCAGCACCCATCAATGCTGGATTTAACAAACTTGTATGCATCTCAAACACACCTGGTATTGCTTATTCTTCTCTTGGGTTCGAATTGTTTTAAAGAGTTCTTCACATACCACTGGAATTATCCCTCTGTTTGCACCATATCCAATCATGGAATAACTCTTCCCAGAGCCAGTCTGGCCATAAGCCAAAAGTGTAGCGTTGTATCCTTGCCAAGCGCTGTCTAGAACTCCCTGGCCAAGGTCTCGAAAAACTTCCCTCTGCAGTGACAGAGATGTACATTCACACATCCAAAAGCAAATACAAAAGGGAAGCTGTGTCTAGTGCACATCCACGTAGGATCTGACAGCCTGTTTCCACTGTGCTTCGGCTTGCACAGTCAGAAGTCAGAGAATAGCCCTGTACACATCAAAGTTAATGTGTATGAGCAAAGTGAGCCACTGCAATTGGGCAGCGGCTTCTTCTGACAGTAGCCCCTCACATTTCATGGAGCGCTGCTTGAGACCACCCCCTCCATTTTTGGTAGAAGTTGCTGCTGAAGGGGATCCCCCATGCATAGTGCTAGTACTTTCAAACTCATTACTCAGAGCTACTTGTGGCACGCTGGATGTATTGCAGCCTCCGCAAGGAAGATCCACAGTTGTCCTATGGATCAGGAGTCAGCAGTCTTCTGCCTTGCAGAACTACTTCATTTTTTACCAGAATGCCACCCTGAGGCCTACCAAGAAGCTAAGTACAAATTAGCAACTTGGGGTGAAGTGGGGTACAAAAGATGCTTACTAACTGCATCTTCATGAACCATAAAAAGGGATAACATGTATAATTTAATATTCACCTGAGTTGAGCATAACAGGAATTCTAGCTACATACTTTGTGGTTAGCAGGGAAGAGATGGAACCAGTTATCTACCAGCAGATTTAGACCTACTTTCTGTCTGTTATTTAATGACGGTTCTGATCATGCAAGATAATTAACATGCAACTTCAGGTATTAAAGTCAGGGAGAGAAAGCTAAAAAGCCTTTTATGGCGAACTGGATTTTATCCCTGTTTCTCTCTGCATTGCATTGCAGCGCTGTGAACTGCTCCAAGTGAAGACTGATCAGCTATGCTTTTGTGCTGTGATGGAGGACATCTGAAGGCACATACCTGTCCTGAGTATTTGCTGTTTGGTCCAGCTGAAATGAGCTTGCCGTCTTGGTCCTTTAAAAATCCACTGTGTGACCAATATGCCAGGTCAAAAGTAAACATTTTCACATTACTTGGATTCTTGGGATCATGTATGCTTGTAGTGCTGGAATTCATAGAAATCACACACCTACTGCTTGCGTTCTTCTCTCTCTGTTGAAATTAGAGTCAGGTTTAAAACAATGGAAGTGCAAATTGGTTACTAAGTTTCTAGTAGTTTGGAGGACATGATGTAATTTGGGTTTCTGAGAGGAAGCTGATTTTAGGACAGGTCCCGATGGAGCAAACATACTTTGCCTTTTGTGTTACAAACTTCAAGAATATTTTAGGAAAAATGATATTGCAGCTATCGGCAAATAATAAAGCTGTTTTTTTAAAGTTATTACAAGAAGCTATCTCAGTAAGTTCCTAACTTTTTTTTGAAACAGCAATTTCTTTCTATGAATACAGATACTCGTATTTTCCTCCCTGCCCTCCCATAAAACTAGAATTTGTGGTCACCCCATGAAGGAGATTAAGGAGAGATTCAGGACAGTTAAAGGAAGTACTTCACTCAGCAAAACTATGGAATTCACTATCCTAATAAGTAGTGATGGCCACCAAAACCGGGCTTTAAAGGGAGGTTGGACAGACTCATGGAGGAGAAGACGATCAATGGTTACTAGCCTTGCCGGTTATGTGATAACTCTGTTCTCAGAGGTGCCATGCACTGTATACCAGTTGCTGAAGATCTTGGGCAGGTGGAGGTTTTGTACTCCTGCTTGAAGGATCCTGTGAGAAGCTAGTTTGCCACTGTGTGAACAGAGTGCCAGACTGTATGGACCACTGGTCTGATCCAGCATGGCTTTTCTTATGTTCTGGGGGTTTCTCTAGCAAGTACTGTAGATGAAAATACATACAGTATTTCATGCAGTTTGATGTAACCTTTACATTCCTGATTCTCAGATGCTCTTCATACAAGTTTTTCAGAATGCATTTTTTTGGCTGACTTCCAGCAACATATACTCTTCTCAAGGTAGTTGTGCCAGATGCCAGAGTAGATACAATCTGGCATGTGCTGTCGTGCAACAGGGCAGGGAATTTAGCACATAAAACTTCCCTTCCCTGAATGGCTTCTGTTTAGTAAAAAGACTCTTGCATGGATGAAATATGCCTTCCTAAAACCAGTAACAAAATATGCAAACTCAGCTTATGCATTCTTTCCCATGCACCAGCTTAGAGGTACTCTGCACTGCCTCATTTGTACTCAACAAACACACCCCATAAATGGGCCGTGCAGATTTCAATGGGATTTTAAAGTACCTTCAAGCCTTGGTCAACAGTGAAACCTGGTTTATAGTTATCCATGTCAACACAACCACGCATAAACAAGAAATCAGATCTGCAATAACATGGCCCGACACAGCATATTAAGGGATTTAACTTCTACAACACAGTAGGTTGCGTTTACTACCACTGAAACAGAAACAAAATTGAGTCTAGGGAGTTATTTCACGAAGTGGAGATTTGCATCTGGAAAAAATTTCATTTGTATGTGTTATGCACTCAAATCTTTCAGAACACAAGTGAACAACTGAAGTTTGAACTAGGATTAAAAACTTGCCTTCCATTATGAATGTATTTGTAAGTTTTCCAAATGATTTTTAATTTGTTATATTCATGATGGATTCCTCTATTTGTGCGTAAGTCACAGTGAGACTGTTGTTGAACTGGGAAGCACTACACAATTTTTACTTGTATTACTATGAATGAATTCAACATAACTTCTTTTGAAGTTGTTAGTTGATACTTTAGACTCTTAAGTCCTTACCTGAGTGTAATACTTGTCAGTTCAAGAGAAGAGACATTTCAAGGAGAAGAAGGGAGAGCAGCTGTTTCAAGCACCTTAGAATTGATCTGTTTAAAATTCTACCTAAGCTTGAAACACCCTTAAAAAAACAAACAGTTATTTGCAGTAGCAATACAAGTCCAGGTGAGATAGTTAAGACCTCTTGGTGATAACCTTAAACCAAGGGTGGGCAGCTTTTGGTCCTCAAGATATTTTAATCTATTTTAACCCTATCAGTCCTAGCCAGTGTGGCCAGTGGTGAGGGAGAATAGGAATCGCAAGCCAAATATCTGGAGGGTTGCATGTTGCACACTCCAAAGGCCTTCAACAGAAGAGATAAAAAGGCAGCCAGCTTTTGACACGGCAAATTACTCTGTATAGGAAGGTTTGCTGGATCAGGGAAGGAACAAAAGCCACCCAATTTTATGCCTGGTGGGGGTAGGGGCAATTTACAATCCACGCCACAATCCTAGAACAAGCTATGGGTTCAGGGTCGTGTGTAAGCCTAGCCATCCCTAGATGATATATCAAATCAAAGGAAATTATGATAAATTTGGCAATGATCAGCCAACATCTGCAGAGCTGAAAAATAAATAAGAAATTAATTTCCTCTTCCAATTGTCTCTCTTTTGAAGCAAAGGCTGCCCTTCCCTCTTCCAAATGAATTTTAGTACAGCATTGGGATTTAAACAAAATACATAAAAGTTAATCAGTTAAACAAAGTAGAAGTGGCTAATATTTTTTCTTTCCATCTGACTCAAAAAGGAAGGCTAAACATCAATATAGATTATTGATCAGTACTCCTGTGCCTGTTGCTTTGAAGCAAGATCTGTAAATTTATAGGGGAGAATAAAGGAGGAGACAAAAAGAGCAGCAAGAAGGTGCTTGCAAAAAGTCTTGGCTTGCAGCCATGTGTGAAGTGCAGGACCTGCATTATCACAGTGGAGGTTATTATTTGTTCCAAAGGTGAAAATACAGTCTATTTCTGGACACAGACTATCAGCAAAATTTCCATATCCCACCCTCATTGCCTCAAACTAATACCCAATTTTCTTTACTTCACTCAAGACCATGAGCAGAAAAACACTTTAATACAAGGTCTGGTGTTGTCCCCTTTTCTCATCACAGGCACCCTTCACCTTCCAAAGGCACATGACCTAAATCTCTAACAGGTTCAGCTTTTTCCATCACTGTGAGAAAAGCTGCAGCTGCTGGATTCCCTGCTGCAGAAATATATAAAAGGTATTGAAGTCCTGCCTCAAAGAGGGGGCAATCTTATGTAGAGACTACAAACATCAAGAGCTATGAGCTGTGGACAAAACAAGGCATGCTACCTCCCTCGCCCCTCAGCTGTCTCTGTGCTGCAACACTAACTTCACATAAAGGAAAAGACGGCAAAGTGAATGAAAGAGGAATGAGCTCAGGATCCGGCAAGGCAAGGGAGGTTTGGAAATGAAATACCTTGATCAATCAACTGAGTGGGCATTGGATTTCTAAGACCAAACCTCAAAAAGCTTCTCTAAGTGCCTCTTCAACTATCACTGTAACATTAGGATAAGAAAAGCATCAGGCAAACCCCTTGCTTTTAATGCTATCCTTTAAAAAGCACATTGGACCTCTGTTCTCCAGCCCCCAGTACACTGTCCAGCATCCTTGGTCAACTGCTAGGGCACACAGCGTTGGCAGGGCCTATAGCCCCAACACTTGCGTGGTTGCTGATGTGGAGCAACCACCATCTAAACAATGTTCTCCAATTTGAATGCCTTGTCAACACAAACTGCGACTAAAGTGGTAGCTGGCTTGCAGTTGTTTGCTGCAAATTGTGGTGCTGCCAACCACAGGTTGCTTTTGAAGACGAGGGGTGGTTGCACCTGCCTGGAAGCCTTCTTGATCTAACATGCACGCAAGATGACACATCTCGCAATCTAATCAAACAAAAGCACTCACCAGATAAAGAAAAAGCCAGGCCTGGTTTGCTCCAGTAAGACTTACTCTGCTGTGTACGAAAGCCTGACAGCCTGGGTGCAACACCAAGCTTCGCTTTGCCCGTTTCCTCCCTCTAGCACATGTGCCACAGTTGCCAGCAGTCTGGGCATGGCTCCCTTCTCCTTCCTGCCAAAGCCTCGCCTCACCTCCCTCTTCCTTTCTGCAATAAAAAAGGTCACGTCTTAATTTCAAGAGTACATAAAATGTGTTACTAACCTGACTGAAAGGTCTCACACGCACTGCCACTTTCACACTTTCAGAACCTGGCATGTTTTTATGGCTTTAATTCTTCCAGGAAATCCAGAAACAAGAATGCAGTATACAGGCACACTCTCCCTTCAGGACCTTGCCTTGAAAAAGATGGTGGAGTGGAGCCTAATACAGGAATATCTTTCTAAACTACTCAATTATTAATATGTTAAGTCATAAATTATAACTAAATAGATGAATTATTTCTAAGAGGAATTCCACTAGGTCACCTAAACCAGTTGCATACTGGGCGTCTTCTGAGAGATTTGAGTGTGTTTGCCTACATTTTGCTTTTTCTCAATTAAGACCATGTCTGCTTTGACCTGCTCTCACCTTTTCTGTACTGCAGGGATGTGTCAAGTACTACAGAAGAATATATAGTTCCAGACAACTTTTATTTTACCAAAATTGTGGTATTATTTCGAATAACCCCAAAATCTATAAAACATGACTCATTTCAAAATATCAGATCTGAGTCAATTGAAGTATGTGAAATCCCTGAAAATGTTGATACCAATCATTGATAGATTTGATCATATAGATATCTCAAATGTTAGAGACCCCCTGCTGAGGCAGCAAACTGAAAAAACAATGAAACAATTGAGGTGAGATTTTGTTTTATAAACTGAAGAGCAGCTTTCCCAAGTTAAGACAAATACAAAAAATATTGCACAGCTTCAATACAATTGTTTACATTCCAACTTCAATAAAGTACATGTTCATCAGTAAGGAGAGGAAGGTTTCATTTGTAATGGGTAACTATTACCAATTCCCAAAAGATCAAAACATTTCCTATGAATCCTAAAACTGCCAAATTTTAATTTTTAAAAACATTGCAAGTTCAAACTGGGGTTTTTTGTTTAAAAAAAGACTATTAGTCTCCTTTAAGGGAGGCATTAGCAGTGGCAAGTCATCATTAAAATCCCCTTTGAGCTGTTTGCATCACGCACACCCTAATATTCTCTCAAAAATCTAGTGGACAATAATCATTGTTAAGTATACATTTTATTTAACATTCCTAAAATAAGATGTATTTACATATAATATAAATGTATGAAGTGTCTTATAAAATAGAAAAACTGCATTGACTGAAGAAATCACACTCCACATGGAGTTACTTATTGAAGACCTTTAGCTTTCTGAAATTTTACAATAATTTATATAAATTATCTTCCAAATTAGATGATTTTTCTTAATATTCCACACAATTCTGATGATTTTACAAACATTAGTGTATATTACACAGTTTTAAAAACAGTTATAGCATCTTCTTCCGAACAACTGGCTTTGGATAGCTAGACAGTCTTTTCTCTTTCCTACGAAGAGTCTTTTGAGCAACTTTTTCTGCTTTGTCCACAGCTTCTTTCTGCTTGCCTTTTGCTCCATCTACTGGGGTTCCGAAAGGAGAAATGAATTTAATTTCCATTGGTGGTGGTGACCAACTACCATCTTTCCCTAGGACTCTGCAAGGAAGAGAGAAGAGCGGTTATGCTAACAAACATTCTTCTTTAGGTGAATTAGGCTAAATTAGGTGAGTCACACAAAAAAACAAGTCCAAATTAATGTTGTTTTGCTCACAATTCTTTATACCATAAATAGTCGTAACACCAAATGTACGGATGGCACCCTTTTGCATGCAGTTGCTTTTGAAGCAAATTTCCCCCCAATCCCAACCAAAATGGCATCTTTGCATACTTGCTTGCTTTTGACCTTGTAGCTCTGCTTCTTTTTACTTTCTGCTTTTCTAATGTTTCTATTGAAATGACATCCTTTTCTTCCTTAATTGGTAATTCCTAAGGACAAGTGAAGAGTGTTAAGCATACAAAAAGTGATGGCATATCCTTACCTCAATGACCCAGGTTTAAAAGGTACACCCCACACACAAATCCACAAGGCTCTTGTAGTTTCTTACAATTAATATAATATTACATGATTGTTACTCAATATACTTGCTTGCAGCTTTCCCAATAGCTGTAAGAACTCTTAAAGCCAGAAAACATGGAGGGGCAAGTACGTAGGGTCAGGTGAAATGGTGCCTGGCCATTTTATCCTCGTCTTTTCTGTCTCTTCTATCATTCATCAACTGAGGACCCTCCAAAGCCTTGAGGGTCCCAAGGCTTATGCGAATGGGACGGCATACAAAAATTCCAAATTTCAAAGACATAAGCTGTGTAACAGGAATAGTTTCATGAACAGGTAATGATAACTGATTCACAGTCTTGTGAAAGAAAAGTCTGCTTTAAAAAGTCACATTTGCGTATGAATTCCCATGAGGACTAAAGCATTTACCAAAATATCCCTTTGCTCTGTCAGGTAAGTTTGCCATACTGGCTACCGACTCTTTAAGAAGAATGCAAACATTATGTAAGCTGCTTCTGTACCTGCTCTTTTAATAAAGGTCAATTACATCCTTGTCAAGAGATCTGACAAAGTATTCCAGAAAAGAAGTGGGTTTGCAAGCTCTGATTGATTAGCATGAAGCATTCTTCCTACCAGTTATGTTCCAGGTGTGTTAGACTACAATTCTATGCTGACTGGGGAGGGAACTAGTTTGAAGGACCATGAAAATCAGGGGGGTTGCATATAGCTCATGCCACCCCTCAAAATGGGGAGAAAAAAATCCCCTCCTTGAAAGCTACAAGGACTGGAAGACTACAGTGAAGATGATTTTCCTGCCTGAGGATGTTAACCAAAATGATGCTTTCTGCCCCAGCCTTGAACACACACAAACACATACACACACCCCATACTGATCTGAATACAAAAGTATTTAACATCATTCACTCTAAGTATAATCATATGCCTCGAATGGTACCATTTTTAAAATTGGATGCTTAGAATCTATGTTGAAGCTGACATTTGAAGTCTCTTTAATCTGCCACTGGAAAAAACTATGCAGCTGAAATCCATTTCTTATACAGGAATGTTACATTCTACCAATTGATTTTGTAATCTGATATAATTTTTTAAACAGGGCAGAGAAATATTTTGCCTGTCCTTATAACTCTTGCATATATATTTATTAGTTAATTTAAAAATTTTTACCTGCACCATTTGTTGTATGGTATTAGCAAAGTTTTGCCATTTCTTATGTTGTAGAATTGGGTGTGTTATCACATCACACAAATCCCACAAAATATGCAAATTTAACAGACGGGAAGTAAATAGAAGGGGAATGAATGCCTTAGAGTAAAAGCAGCTGCTTACCTGTAACTGTCGTTCTTCGAGTTGACATCTGTGCATTTGCACATATTAACATTGCCGTGCAGCGCAAAGCCTGAATCGGAGAGAAACTTCTACAGCTAAATGTCAGCAAGTGGTTGTGAGCCCCATGCCCTTTCTGGGGCTCTGAATAAGGAGGGGGCTCCTGCCCACTTCTCCAGTTTTCTTGGCGATCACATCTCCGAGTAACCAGAGGGTGAGAGCTCAAAATGCCCACCATGCATGTTCCCAAATGGCCCCATGTGGTGGAGAGAGAGGGCGTGGTCTGATGACCTCAGGCAGTAGGGCAGAGGGTGGGTTGTGTGAATGCACAGATGACCACTCAAAGAATGGCAGTTACAAGGTAAGCAACCTGCCTTTCTTCTTTATGGTCTCTGTGCAAGCACCCATATGGGCGATTAGCAAACCGGGGAGGACTATAATTTCCATCATGCCCAACCAGCATGGCCAATGGAAGTTGTAGTCCAACTCATCTGGACAGTACCAGTTTTGGCAAGGGTGCACTAAAAAAAATTTGGTAGTCATTAGCTCTGCATCCAAATACAGCCATTGTGTATTGTGGGAATTGTTCTGGGCTGACATGCTTCATATACTAAGAGTGGCATTAACAGTATTTATCTTTAGTATTTTTGCTTCATTCTCTGTAAATGCCAATTGTAGTCATCAGCTGTATTATGCAAAATACTGCATCTAGTGCCTTGGTTGTGTTGTAGCTATGTCCCTTGAATATGGACATGCTCTTCCCCACCTCATCTTGGGCTTCTGCTGCAGCCCGAGGGAGCGGAGCAAGCATTTTTAATTAATTTTTAAAATTTTAATTATTTTTAATTTATTTTAATTTTGATTAATTTTACTGTGCAGTGTGCATAGGAATTCATTCATATTTTTTTCAAACTATAGTTGAAACAGTCTGAGGGACAATGAACTGGCCCCCTATTTAACAAGTTTGGGGACCCCTGCTGTAGTGCCAGATGAAGGTCGATAGCGTGGAACAAGTGGCAGCTTTGCAGATGTTATGGAGAACGATTCCTGCCAGGGAAGCGGTGGATGTAGCCTGTGCTCACGTGGAGTGTGTGTTGGGGCGTGAAGGAAGGTCAAGGCCCACCATCTTGTAGCCTAGGCAGATGATACTGGAATTTACTTGGCAATTCTCTTGAGGCGAGATGGTGTTCCCCTTGACCAGGCCATCGTAGCAGATGTGCAGCGGAATTGTTCAGTGGAGTTGTTCTGTGTGCGACATGCAGAAGGCAAGGGCTCTGCGGATGTCCAGGTGGAGGAGCAGTTCCTCTAGGGGAGTGGATATGCTCAGAAAGAAGGCTGGGAAGACAAAGTCCTGGTTCATTTGGCAGGGAGAGGTGATCTTGGGCTGGAACTGTGGGTCTGGGTGGAGAACCATTTTGTGGAAAGTGAGGTATGGGTCGTCAACCCTAAGACTGACCAACTCACCTGAGCAGCAGGCTGAAGTGACTGTGATGAGGAAAACTGTTTTCTAGGACAGGAGGTGGAGGTTGGTTGTTGCCATGGGCTTGAACAGCTGTCTGGTGTAGGACAACAGAGAGGCCCCACAAAGGGGTACAAGGGCATACTGGTGATGTTTTGCACACCCCAGAGGAACCTGTGTGCTAGGGGAGGTGTAAATGCAGAGGACCCCTGGATTGGGGGTGGAAATGCGAGATCACAGCCAGGCAGACCCTGATGGAGGACAGGGACAGTTCTGAGCTGAAGCGCTTCTGAAGGGTTCAATGGAGGTATGGGAAGGGTTTAGGCCTCTTGCCCTGGCCTGGCGAGTGAAGGCAGTCCATTTGGTTAGGTAGGACGTGTGTGTGGAAGATTTTAGAGCAGCCTGTAGAATGCAGGCAACAGCCGGGGGTAGTGCTGGTTAGGGATACAATGTCCGCAGATTCTCTAGGCAGTCAGGTTCAGGGTCTGATGTCTGGGTGGAGCACCTGGCCTTCGAAGGATGAGAATGCAGTTCTGGGGCAGGTGGAGGAGGAGGAGGAGGAGGAGCCACAGCTGTCATAGCCACCAGGGATGAGGAGGAAACAGTCTGTGCGACTCTTCTGGATTTTGGCGATCACCTTGGGGACCAGAGGGAATGGGGGGGAAGGCATAGAACAGAGACACCTGCCACTTCAGGAGAAATGTGTTCCCAAAGGAGTCCCTCCTACATCCTGATTCGGAGCAGAAGCAGTCACACTTGGCATTCTGGGAAGTGTCGAAGAGGTCACTCTCTGGAGTGCCCCAGCTGTTGTAGAGGTCATGGAGGACCACACTATCGAGTTTCCACTCATGGGATGTGAAAACATCCACTCAGGGCATCTGCTAAGGTGTTTAGGCAACCCACCATGTGAATGCCTGTGATTGAGATGGCTCTGCCTAGGCACCCATCCCAGGTGGAGGATGCGAGATTGGATAGGCAGGTGGAGCGGGTCCCGCCCTGTTTGTTTACGTAATACATGATGGTTGTATTGTCTGTGGCAATTTGGACATGGCAGCCCTACAAGGAATCCTGGAATCGGATTAGGTCTTTGTATATGGCCATTATCTCCAGGAGGTTGATGTGACTTCAGGAGTTGCGGTCCTCCCAGATACTCTTGAGGGCAGAGGTCTCTGCAGTGAGCATCCCAGTCTGTGCTGGAGGTATCCATTCTGAGGGTGACCTCTGGTTCCAGAGTGGAGAATGGGAGCCTGGCTGCAAGGCTGGCTGGAATGGAGCAAGGCTCTGACCCATGGTGGGGGGCAAAGGTTGGTGTGGTAGTGGTCACTGCCCGTGGTGAAAACTTCCATGAACCACAGCTGCAGGGGTCTCATCTGGAGGCAAGTGAAGCAAACCACGGATAGTGTAGTGGTCATGAGGCCCAGGAGTCTCTAAAAGGTGTCATCCATAGAAGAGGCTGCAGTTCTGATGGCCTTGGTGAGGGAGGCAAGAGTTTTGGCCCTTGGTTGTCGGAGGAAGGCCTTCCCATGTATGGAGTTCAGGTGAGCCCCTATGAAGAGAATGGAATGGGTAGGGGAGAGAACAGACTTGTCATGATTAATGAGGAGGTCCAGGCCCTGCAGGAGTGAGTAGATGGTGCTAACTGCCCAGGAAATATCGGCCATGGATGGCGCTGTGAGAAGCCAGTCATCTGGGTATAGGAACACCTAAACTCCCTGGCGGCAGAAAGGCACAGACCACCACCATGCACTTGGTGAAGACATGTGGTGTGGTGGGTAGGACAAAAACTGGAAGGTCACTTCCCCTATACAGAGTCTAAGTGCCTATATGCATGGTTAATGTTGATATGGAAATAGGCATCCTAGAGGTCTATGGAGGCTAACCAAATGCCCTGCTTGAGCAGGGGGAGGATGCTCTGCAGACTGGTCACCCTTAACTTCTTGGGGGTGTGGAACTTGTTGATGCCTCTCAGGCTTGAAACTCCTGTCCCTTTTAGGAACTGTGAAATAATGGGAATAGAATCCCCTATGCAGGTCCATGGAGACACATTTGATTGCACCCTTGGACAGTAGGATCTCTATCTCTGCCAGCAAGGCAGGCAAGGAAGTGGTAGTTCTAACATGTCAAGGGGTGAGAAAATATCAAACTTAATCCTGTACCTGTGATGGATTACAGATAGGACCCAGGAGTCCAAAATAATGGACTCCCAGCCGGGAGGAACTGGGACAAGTGGTCTGTGAAGCTGGCGGGGGGGGGGGCGCTGCCTGGACCTGACCCTCAATGCCTGAATCTGGCATCCGATGCTTAGGTACAAATTTTTGACAGGGCTGGGTGTCCCGCCTCTTAGGGGGAGCCCTAGCCTTGAAGAGGCAGTTGGGGAAGGACCGGTGGTTAGTGCTGAGAGGGGCCCTGCCACTTATGTGGTTGGGACAGCTAGACAAACCTCGTATGCCTGGTGGTTGCTCTGGCCTTGTGGAAGGAGTCCATGCTCTTGTCCATCCTGGTGCTGAAGAGTCCCTCATCATCAAAGGACACGTCCTCAGTGCAAGAGTGGGTCTCCTGGGGGAGGCCTGCAGAGCGCAGCCAGGCATGGTGATGGAGCTTGGTGGCTCCCAAAAGAGCCTTCTTGTTGCAGTCCACATGGTTGCTGTCTAGCTGGTACCTGGACAGCTGCTCAGCCTGTGTGTGAAGCAAGGATGCCACCTCACGCTGCTTGTGTGGGAGGTGCTGCGCCAGGGTCCCCATCTTTCCCCAAAGGAACATCTGGTATTTTGCTGTGGTGGCATAATACATTGCTACATGAAGGCCCAGGGAAGAGGCAGCATAACCCCTGTGGGCCAGGCCATCGAGGCGTCGACCCTCCTTGTCTGCTGGTCTGAGTGGTCCCGCTGGGAGGCATCCTGCATAGACTCTAGTATAATAGAGCTGGGCTTGGGATGTTGATTCAGGAAGGGGAGTCACTGAAGTGATGCTCAATATGTTGTCTTGATGCGGCAGGAGGTAGTTAAAGTCACCGCAGGTGATCTCCAAGACTACTGTACCATGTGCAGAAGGGCTGGGGGGAAGGGAATGGAGATGGGCACACTGTCAGCAGTCAGGTCCCCAAAGACAAGGTCACCTGTGGGCTCCACTGGTTGGGAGACAGCAAAGCCAAGGTTGGCCATGTGGAGGACCAGGACAGTGAAGCATCTCCTTCTCCACCCATAGTGTGTCCTGGTCCTGGGGGAAGAACAGCGAGGGGGGCTAGGCAAGAGGGAGAAGACTGAATCAGGGAAATAGCTCTGACCTGAGTCAAAGGATGGAGAACAGCGCTGGCTGGATTGCGAGGGTCCTCTCCTTGGCAGCTGTAAGCAGAGTGATGTCACATCTGGAGGCTGTGGGAAGGGTGTGTGTGCATGGCTGCCTGGGTGCCAGCTGGTCTTGGAATGACATGGCCTCTAGAGTGGTGAGCCGTGATAAGGTCAGCATGGATAGCATGTTGGCGTCAATGAGTGCATGCATGGGCCTTGTAGAGGCCGGAGTCATTGTGGGAGGCCTTGCGATGCTGGCATGACTGTAGGTCACCATCAACAGTGGCTGGGGCAGCACTGGAGCACTCTCATTGCTGTGTGGTGTCGCATGTGTGAGTCAGTACAGGTCCTTGGCTTTGGGCTTGGGAACAGCGCTGATGATGGTCGGAGTCTGCCTTCCTATGCTGTGAGGCAAGGCTGGCAAGGTTGCAGTAGTGGGCAGCGTGGTGACAGAGGGCATGAGCTTGGGGGTTGGTGTGGCTGTAACCCAGAGGTAGGTCCTCAATGGATGAGGCAGACATCTCCCAGTCCAGTCGGTGCACGTGGGGAAGTGCAGCAAGCCCATCGAGATCCATCAAAGGCTTGGAAAAGTCCTCTGGATATGAGGATTCAGGATGTTGCATGCCCAATCCAGAGAAGGGGAGCAGGGCGATCCCTGGTGTCTCCAAGATGAGCTATCCCTTTTTGTGGGTGGGATGAGCAGGCTGGCCAATGCAGCGCATGGGGAATCAGCAGCAGGGTATTCGGGAGTCATGGGTGTCAGGGGTGGTGGAGATGGAGAAATGTGCATGGGATGTGGATCCCTGACTTGGATTGGGTCTGTCTTCAGAGTGGCGCAGGAATCTGCCAGCAGGGCCTTGATGTCCTGGGCTGGAGGCAGCATGCACAAAGAATTGTTGGTAGGTGGAGGGGGGGAATGACCATGTGGCGCTTCCTCATCCTCTTGACACTGATGGGCGCCAGCAGCTTCCCCTCATGTTTCCTCTTGCAGGCTGTGCAGACTCAGCTGGAGGGAGGTTGGACGGCTCTTTGGCCACCAGCTTCGAGTTGGCCATATGCAGGGCTCTTTGCCATAAGACAAAACAGAACCAATTTGTCCACTGCTGGCGTGTTTGTTTTTTGAACGCCTGGCAGTTCAGGCAGGTCTCCACGATATGCCCCTCACCAAGGTAGAGGCGGCACAAGGAATAGCCATTGGCAGCTGGGAGGCATGCTGTGCACGAGGCACAACTCTGGAAAGCTGCATCGGCCATTAGAAGAAGAAAAAAACAGTGAAAGGAAGCAGTGAAAAGAGAGGAAAGGAAATAGAGGGATTGCGGGGAAATGAGTGAGCAGCTGAGTGTGAGAAGAGGAGGAGAAAAAAGGGCCTCCTTTTAATTTTTTTTCTTGTTAGTGGGAGGCAGAGAAAGGGAGAGGAGAATTTGGTTTGGTTTGGTAGGAGTGAGTATAAGAAAGCAAGGGAAAAAAAGAGAGGTAGGAAGCGAAGTTCTCAGACTGATCAGGTGATGCAGCAAGACTTGCGGTCGAAAAGAAACTGGAGAAGTGGGCCGGAGCCCCCTTTCTTATCCAGAACCCCGAAAGGTGTGGGGGAGGCTCCTGCCCACTTCGTGACATTTAGCTGTAGAAGTTTCTCTCCGATCAAAGCCTTGCGCTGCACAGCAATGCGCATATGTGTGATTGCACAGAGATCAAAAAGAACTGTTTTGAGAAGGAGCCACAAGTGAGTACGGTGGTTAGCTCCCCTTTCTGGAGTAGCTGGAGACTTGGGGATGTGTGAAAAAGGCGGAAGGCATCTTTTGGTGCACCTTCCTCTGCTGCCTTTTCCCTTTACCAGAGCTTTTCAACTGACAATTTGACAACCGTGCACAAATTAACCTATACACACCCTTGTCTTCCTTATTTCCTACTCCACTTTGTGGCTTCCTTTGACAGCTGAAATAGACAAGAAAACTGACGGGGCAAGACTGCACAAATCAGAATTAGAACTCAGAGGACAACTTAGGGAAGTCTAACAAAAATAATAGCAATAGCAATTATGAAAATAGTTGCACCATTTTATGGGATTTTAGTGTTGCTGCTGTGGTAAATAAGGGTGGCAAACTAGTGAGTTATTCCAAAGCGCTGCTTGGACACTAGTGGACAGGCTATCACTGGCAGTGGCATGAACAAGATTATGAAGCGTGGTAGAGGGCTTCACCATTCTTGAGAACCAGCATGTTAGCTGATACTAGCTGCTCATAAGGACATTGTTCTCCGAGGTTTCAATGACATGACAACCCATTGTGGTACAAACAATACCTAGAACAAGCCATACATCAGGGGTCTCAAACTCGTGGCCCGCAGGCCAATTGCCAGGACAGGCGGGGCACAGGGGAGGGGCCCTGCGGCCTTCAAAGCGCCAGCGGTGCCCGGGCCAGCCGCGGGATGAGCGGCCCACCACCACCGCGGTGGTGGAATACTTGATGCGGTCCAGCCTCACCCAGACTCTACTTCCAGCGACCCCCAGGTAAGTTGAGTTTGAGACCCCTGCCATACATTTCCCAGGAACATAAGCCATCCTGCAAGACATGGTGTGGATTCAGATGATACAGCTATCAATACTAGTTCTCACAAAACATCGCCATGTCATCTGTACCAGGTAACTGTATTGCTACTTTTTCTTTGCACTATTGGCTTTGCAATTTTAAGTCTTGTTTTATAAGTGTTTTGTGGACTACATAAATCTCATTATTATATTACCATTACTTGTATATAACATTTATAGTTGCTTCTGATCTCCTATTCCCCTTTGGTTTCTACTGGTCTAGAAATCATCTTTTAATATTAACAAGTATAAGTTAATACAGGAAAGATCAGCCTGGATCAAGTTTAATTGCAACTGAAAGATAACAGCCTTCACAGATTCTGAAAAAAGGCAAAGGAAACAAGTGCAGGATATGTAAGCCTCAGAAAAAAGCCTTGGGAGGGCATGCAAATCAACTTTTATTGAACCCTCAGCAGCAGTTGTTGAATAAACCTACTTCAAATACAAAAGTGTGGAAAATCCTCCACTGAGCAGTATCCCACCCTACAGGAAGGCTGCTTCACTGCAAACTTCCTAGTTTGCTCTGTTCAGGTTTCTGAAGGAACAGAAAGAAAGGAAAACAGAACCACAAGTTTTCCTTACCAAATTTTCCACAATCCTTGAAATAGTGGATGCTTGCTTCTTCCTGGACCTCAAAACAGGAGGTGAAAAGACAAACTGAGAAGTCAAACTTGCATCTAAACCTTTGAGCTGCACAGGCGTCACTGCTTGTTCACCTAAGATTCAAAAACATACATTTATTTTGAACTTGAAATGGAAGATGTCGAACATGTAACTTTGGCCATAGTTCTAAACCTAGAACAAGTGGAGAGCAGTGTGGAGCAGGTCCCAGTTTGCATTTGCGTCTCAGTCTAGGCATAGCAAAGTCTTGTCAGGATTTCAAGAAAAAGTAGGCTATTCACTTTACACAAAGACTGTTTTGTGGTTTTTATGCTATAATATTATCCAGCAGTGCACTCTTGCACGAGTCCCTAAATAAAACTCTGCTCCCACTTTTAATGAATCCAGCCAAACCCTGAAGCAACATCAGAATGCTGGATGCTCAAGTGAATGCCCAGTTACACTGCAGTACTCTCAGTGGTGCACTGGTCTAAAGAGGCAGGCAGGTGGCTGCAGAGGGACAGTGAAGGTCAAATTGAGATCTTGGGCAAAGCTGCTCCACATGTTATTCTTTGTTTGTGCAAAGTTAGGGCCAGTGGTTGGTGTTTTTAGTCTTCCAACAAGTTTCATGTGCTGGACTGGGGACCTAGTCCCCACTTGGCCATGAAACTCACTGGCTGACTGGGCCAGTCACCCACTGTCAGCCTAACCCACCTCACAAGGTTGTTGCTGTGAGGGTAAAATGGAGTAGAAGACAACTATGTAAGCCACCCTGGGTTCCTTGCAATAAAAAAGGTGGGATAGAAATGCAAAATAATAATTTAGTAAATACAATAAGAATAGAATCACAATCATAATGATTATAGTTATAATTACAATGATATAGTGATTATAATAGCCCCATAATAATTATGATTTAATAATTCAATATAATTCAATGTTAAAGCATCCTCCTCATGGGGATGGGAAGAACAGGTTCTGAGATAAAGCATCAAAGAAGTTCCTTATCTTGTAGTCTAGGCCTTCCTTTCTCCTCTCACTTATGCTGGGTTCCCAAAGCCAGTTCCTGGCCACACAACACACCAAAAGACTTTGTTGTATGAATGTAATTCCCCATTACTCAAATGAATATGGAGGGATGGAGTTCATCTCCCTTTGGTTTAGAGGCAATCATGACTGGCTGGGGTGAACTGAGTGGTTTCCTTCAGACAGCTAAATTTTGCCATCTCCCTATGGGCTCAATTCAGACCAACATACTGTTTTCAGCTTCCAGAGTTTCCCACAGCTGCCCAAGGAATAGTTGTATAAGGAATCTTGGCTTGGGACTCTTTATAGGGGTCACTTTGACTCCTCACCTTTTTTACCACCTTTAACTATAATCAACAATTTCAAACATGTTTGCCTTTCATCTTCTCTGTGCTAGAAACCATTAACAGTGTGTCAATGAGCAATTAAAAAGCACAGGATGTTCTTCCCTAGCCAACCAGGGTTTTAGTTTTCCCTAATTTATACCAAATATTATAGTCTGCAATGGCTTGATGGCAAAACTGATATACAGCAGTCTTGTTGGAATAAAAATCCCCAGTATTTCTCTGGCTCTGGTTTTGTTCAATTTTGATTAGAAACACAGAAACAGAGCAAGTCAGAAGGAGTCTCCTGGGCCATCTAGTTTGACCCCCTGGATCCAGCTGGCTCTGCTCATGGCATGCCTACCATGTGCATGTCCAGTCTATCCTGAACACCCACATGAATGGGACTTCAACCACCTCCTTAAATAACGGATTTGCCTATCCCCCCTCCCCCAAATCAAATACCTTTCGTTTTTTCTGTGAGCTTTGTAAGAGGAGGAGAAAAATAGAAGGCTTCATTTACATCCAAGTAGAGGCTCTGTTTCACACTCTTCTTGCTGTATCTGGTCCTTTTATCTGTCAAGGTTCTCCTTGTTTCATCAAGCCTCAGTTTGGCCATGTCTGTGGACTGCAATTCAGCTACATTATCAGTTGTTTGTGTCAAGAGCTCTTCCTCCTCTGTACCCTCTTCAGAGAGAGATGGTAGTTGACCCCTCTTTCTGATTGTTGTTATCTTCGACTGCTTCTTTTCAGAACTCCTAGCTGAAATAACTGCTTCCCTTGGCTGGACCGAGTGTTCATCAATATTAGATTTTTCTGCATTTGTTTTTTCTTCACCTGCAGATCTAATTCTTCTAGATCTCTTCGTTGTGGTGCTCACTGCAGAGCTTTCTAGGGAAGGTAAACATCCTGCACTTGTAGACAAGTTTGATGCCCCACTCCGAGTATTTCTTCTAGTAGTGACAGAAGGTTTTGTATCTGTAGGAGGAGGTGGAGATGACAAAGACAAATCTAACAGTGCATTTGCTGAAACATCGAAAGGATTCTTTCTCGGTCTGCCTCTTTTACGCTGCACAGGCAGCTGTTCAGGAAGCTCAGCCTCTCGATCAGGAACAGTTTCTGATATACTTGTGCTTTGTGTTTTCTCCTGTTCCGTTTGTGCAAGAAGCTGTGGTTCAGAACTTGTTTCTGGTAGACTGGACTTTTTAGATCTACCCCTTCTAACTGGTGTACGTAATGTTAAATTTCCCGGCTCTGTTTCTGATGGAGCTATTACTTCCAGTATGCCATGTTTTCTTGACCTTCCTCTTCTTGGTTTTGCACTCACCTGCTGTTCATGGGATTCTACCTCCTGACCTGAAATTACATTTTCTGCAAGATGCAAAGCAATAGTTTTTAGTTTTCTTGTACTTTTAGGATTGACTGTCATTTGTATTGTATGGTCAATGATGAGCTGACTACTTTCTTGATCTCCTGCTAAATTTCTTGTAGTTCTAGCAGCTCTCCTGCGAGCAGAAGGTGGCTGCTCATGAGGTTCTACGGCAAGCTGTTTTGGTTTTCTAACCCCTTTCCTTGTAGTAATGGTTGCCTGAAACTCCTGTGCAATAGGATGAACATCTGCTGCTATTTCTAAGTCACACTCCTTTGTTTTGACTGGAAAAGCAATAGCTTGAGGTGTTTGCTGATCATGATGTTTTCTTTTAGGACTGAGGTGAAGGCTTCCAGGAATATCTGAAGTCTCTTTGGCTCGTCTAGCACTTCTCCGTGGAGTGGGCAGTACTGATAGCTCTGGTTTCTCAATCTTCGTCATTGGCTGATCATCAGATTTTGTGACCTTTGGACTTTGTGTTGAATGCTTTGTTGTGCTGGTACTAGACATCACCAAATGACTTAATTTTATATCTTCCTTTGTTTCCAGGATATTTTGGAGAGGAGTCTTCTTGCTTATATTTTCCTGAGGAGATTGTTCCACTACTTCAGCTGAAAATTCATTATTTGTGACTCTGATTACATCCAGCAGATTTTCAGCAGCAGCTGTCCTGATAGGTTGTGGGTCATATGGCAATATTTCAGCAGTATTCAGTGCTTTCTGATCACTAGTAACTGTGGATGCTGAATTTGTAGGAAATTCTTGGATATTACTTCCAATGTTATTCAGGCCCTCACCCTCTGGTTTTGGGCTAGCTGATTTATCAGGAACAGTCTGCAACACAGTAGATTCTCCCATCTCTGCTTCATCATCCCCTTCTAGTATTAGGGTGAAGTTGTTCGGAGATAGAAGATCTCCATCTCCTTCAGTAAAGGGTGTTTCATCAGTATCTCTGCCAAGTAATTCACCCGTGACCTGCTGCTCTACAGTGTCACAGTTGTATTGAAATTTGAGACTATTGGAGGGATACAGTTCATTATATGGTAAGGCCTCCACTAAAGCTTCTGAAACTTGTACTTCATGCTTTTCATCTCCAATAAGCTAAAAACAGAAAGCATGTAAGATTAATTTTAGTACATATATTCCAGGCAATTTAACAGTAATAGAACAAATGCATTTCAGTTTTTAGACACACAGGACATTGCTGCACCTGGAGCTGGCACAGATTTCAATAAAATGCTGAAATACTAAATTAAAAAGGACTTTTCTTACATTTACATCTTCAACATTAGGTGGTACTTTTTCTTGCAGGACTACTATAACATCTTCTTCAACCACTTCTTCTGATTTATCTTCATTTACTGCTTCTCTCTCATCAAGCTCATTTTTGGAATGAATACTGGCAACATCTTCACTATCAGGAATACTGATGACAGCTGAAAAAAAGTTTGCCTCTCATTATTCATTCCAAGTTCATAGTTTCTGTATGAACATTCTTTACTAGTGGCTGATATACGGATGAGATAGTTCTGACACGCCGGGCTGTTTCATACACTGCAATAAGGAGAACAAGCTGCCATGGGTTTGTTATTCAACTGCTAATCCATGATGATGCTGACAGATAATCCTTTGGGATGCATGCAGAGGAGTAATCAGAAACATGCCAGTACAAGCCTTAGGGGAACCCACTCTGCCAGGTTTGGATGTCACAACAAGCCACCTTGAAAACAAACTACCCTGAATAACTCAATGAGGCATGGGTTCTCAAGGTGGATTGTTCATGAAAAATAAGCCACCCTTGAAAAACTGCACTAGGTTCATTACATCACAACAAGCCACTGTGGGTGATAATGTTGTGCCATAAGAACCAGGTCACTGTGCCTCCTGGTGCTAACTATATACAAGAGCAGAGATGGGTACTTATTTACAGGGAGAGTATGTATCCAATGCAAATAGTGCACATTTAAGTTATAGTAAACTAACAATTTTCGCCTATCTCAAAGTTCAAGTGAAACAAAATGACACAAATATAGCTTTTGCAATGTTTGAGATGTTCTACCATGATATTCCTATCTTAAAAATGGAAATATTAAACTTCATTTAAGTATATATCAGGGGTAGCCAAGCTTGTTCAATGGAAGAGCCACATACAGTAAATATCAGAAGTCTGAGACTCACAAGTGGGTGCCTGTGGGTGGTGATCTGCAAAATAAATTCAAAGAGCTGCAGGTGGCTTGTGAGCTTTGGTTTGGCCAGCCCTGGTATATATTGTGCTAAAGCAAATTGTACTTGATTACGTTACTGCCAGCATTACAGGCACCTACAGACCTGGTTCAGATGTTGCACTGTCAATTTCTGGGTAGTATAACCCAGAAATTGCAGAAATGAGTTGAGCATGCTTCTGCTTTTAATCAAGAACCTATGAAAATGGACTGTTCTATGACATCCAAATTCCAAAATTCAGAGTTCAAACCCAGAGGTGACCCAACAATTACCAATGGTTTATTGGTTCCAGGTTCAGACATCATGAAACAACCTAGGAATGGTGGCATTGATTAAAAGTAGAAAATAGGAGTATACACTTCAAATATTCCATTCACCCCTGCAAAATCTGGCTTAAACAACCTAGGAATTGCCAGTGTAACAGTCAGTCCTGCCTATAGTGGTCTGTTGTATATGCCCAATTGACAATACATATACAGCAGGGTTTTTGTGTAACTTTACTCTGCTTCCTTGTAAGTATTACAGGTTGTAGCTTATGATCTAGACCTCTGGAAGAACCACAGCTGACTGGTCTGTTTGTGCAATGTGTGCTGGATATTTACTATACATATTAGAGAATCTGTGGGTGAGTTTCCTTGTAAGAGGTTTTCAGAACAAAATATTTTTGCTTAATAGCAAAATACCAACAACTCAAAGACTCATCCTTTTTCTGGAAGATTCTATACCAATATTACATTTCCATGTAGAAAGACAAAAATCCTCCCTTAAAATCTGCCCCTTTAATTCCCAAGATTACTAGAGAAATGCTTCAGTTGATCCAAGTTCATTTGACCACTTAACTATCAGTTTTAACTAAGTTATAGGTTAGCACTAATCTGAAAATGGCAATTTTAAAATATCCATCTTTATGCAATAATTGCCAAATTTCAAGTTCATACAGAAGTTTAAAAGCATACTACTTCCTTCACTGTAACATGGTCTGTTATACAAGAACACTACAAAATATGAGGCAGTATCAGCAAAGTCATTAAACAGAGGAGCAATGGTCCTTTTGAGTGTAATATCATATCAGTCTATTCTATACTACTAACAGAGCCATACCAATACATTTGAAAGCTACCATATCAACCCATTAAACACACCAGGCTTACAAATTTTTAAATGCATGCATCAAAGGCATGTAGTGGCCTAGTTTACAGATAGTAAAAATCCCAGAGTATGCACTGTTATTAAATCATGGGTTGTCATTAAGTGTAGACTTAGTGCTACAATTTAAATAAGGGTTCCTAACCACAATGTAGGAAGAGAACTCATGGTTTGTTACTGAGCTGTGAACTCTGCATTCTTTGTGGCTGACAGCCTACATCTAAACCACAATGCAAGGTTTCTACATAGCAACCTTCTTATGATTTAATGTTAATTCATACTCAAAGCACAGTCTGGGTTGTTAGTAAATGTGAACCAGACCAGAGAGTACAGTCACACTCTTCTAGTGTTTCAAATATATTCCACTTGCTAACAACAGCCAGGGAAAAACACTTTTTTGCTTGTTGCAGTTGTACAATTCAAATATACATACATTCAACATCTGTTCCTCCTGGCTCCAAGGCTTGGGGACTCGTTTCAGCAAGATGACCGTTGTCTTCAATCAATGGTGGCATACTGGATTCTAGGACATTACTTCGTACACAAAAACAGATATAGTCATGTACAGATTCTGAATAAAATGTGTTTAAAATAGCTTTATGAAAGCCATTAAGTTACTTGTTTGTTAAAACAGTTCTTAAACCAGTACAACTATTTTAAGCTGTACTGCAAGAAAAGCCACTTCTACAGAAAAGTCTAGAAACCGCTTCTTGGTTATAAATAAAGCTGTAAGTATTCATGTGATTCAACACTTAACTCTGAAGATGCAGCTAATTAATGCCTAAAACAAGACTGCAAAGTGGGGCTCCAGCAGTGGCCCGCCTGTCACCAGTACGCATCACAATCACGGCTGCCCAGAAAGCGAAAGTTAAAGCAGGAATGGGCAATGTATGTGTCCCATTGTAAAAACAAAGCATGTTTTTAAAAAACATCAGAATAGCACCCTGAGTGGCCATTTTGCAGCCATTTGACCCTGTGCTGTAGCTATTGTGGACCGCAATATAGTCAGATTACCTGGAAAACCATAACCCTATTTTTCATGTTCCAGTTGAAAATCTGGCTCTGTGGGTAGCCCACAGGGACAAGTCCAGGGACAAAAATGGCTGCTGGACCTTTTGAAATTGCCTATCCTGATTTAAAGCAAACCATTCTTTTCAGTACATAGCTAGCATATTCACCTTTCATCGGATGGCATTAAGGAGACTACAGTGTCCTGAATAACATTTAAATGACCCATCACAACTACTTCATCCTCGAGAATTGAGCCACATTCCTTGTCCTGTTTCTCTGGGAACCCTATGGACAACAGAAGTTATATCATCAATCTCGTTATTCAAAGTTTTCTTTTAACCAATGCATACCCTTGTAAAAATGTACTACCCTCCTCCTGCCACCCAGCAGTATCCTTGCATTTTATTCACTCAAACCTTAACATACTGAATGTTGTTATACAGAAATTACTTAATTAAACTTAATTTCTATACTGCCCAATAGCTGAAATTCTCTAGGTGGTTTACAAATTTGAATGGAAATGAAAAGTTTCGGCTTAGCTTAGCTAACAACCATTCTTTCCCTTTCCACCACACTTCAAAATTCTCCATCATTCAGAGCAATGAAGCAGCACCTTTTCTCATCTTGTATTAAGTCTGGAGAAGGCAGAAAAGCCCAGGCTTGTCACACTGTTTCTGCCTTCTCCAAGGCCTAAAGTGAAGTCCAATACCAACTCTTCTGCTCTCCAAAATTATCTGTCTATATCAGTGGTCTGGAGGTATAGTGCTGCAGAGCCAACACAGGGAAAGAACTGATACAAAGAGAATTGTGTGTTAGTCATCGGAGAGAGATAGAAATAGATGTTTTTCCCCTGCTTATGGAACTCTCGTCTCCTGTGCTGTTGAGCCTCAGAGGCCGGTTAGCCTGAAATCCAAGTATTTTATAGTGATGTAGTTGGTGGCTTGCAATTCAGCAGATCAGAAAGGCATCCTCCAAACCCTTATTCCCCATCTTCTCCAAGATCTCTGTCAGATGTGAGGCCTTGAAGCTCCCTCTGTGGTCCTCCATTTCCCTTTCTGATACATCAACCAGAGTCTCAAGAGATAGATTCAGCCTACCTCTTGTTTGTAAGCTGTCCTGAGATGCCATGCACAGAGGACAGCATATAAAAGTTCTAAATAAATAAGTACCTGATATCTTTTAAATTTTTACTTTGGATCCTTTCCATTAGTTAGCATCATTATTCTATTTAGTTCCCAATTTCCTGATTGAAAGACTGGGAGAAGGGGGCATTTGGAAAAATATTTTTGATTCCTACACACTTGTGCTCCTGCTTACCTGAATGTTCCCAGAACAGGCAAAAGCTACTACTTATTACTCAACGTTGAGTTCATTATCAGAAGGAATAGCTAAAAAAACACCTATGGCTTGACACACAGTCTCTCCGATTACTGGGGGCAGAAGGAAGGGTAACACCCAGTTTCATGCCCAAAATGGGAGTTTCTCTGCTCTGATCCACCACGGCAGGTCCATCCCTCTTATTTCCATTGTATCCATAAACTATTATATCAAATGACATACCAGCTGATTGTTCTACATCTTCAGAACTTTGCTGTTCCGTTTGTAATGAATCATTTCCCACTATTTCAGTGCCTTCTCTTTCAATTGACTCTGGTACATCTACAATATCTTCGGAGAAATTATTTGCTGGCTGAGATGCTATGAAGGTGCCATCGCCTAAGTCAACTGATGGTTTTGTGCCATGATACTGCAAAGAAGTTTTAGCTGATTTAGCAAAAGTGTTATTGGTTTCTTTGGAGGATTCAGTTTTATCCAAAGGATCACTTGGTATACATTCCGGTAACAGGTCCATTTCTTCATGGTTTTCCTGAGGCCTGCATGCCGAAAAGGAGGGAGTTTTTCTATTCTTAGTCCACGTATCTTCCATTTGAGCTTCAAGATTATAATTATATTCAGATGAAATTGCACTGTGTTTTGTTTTATGATCTGTCATCTTGAAAGAAAAAAAGGTCCAAATTATACTAAGCAATACAATTACCTATGTGAACAGGAAATTCTGACCATACTACGCTCTTAACACTGAGTTAACTCCCAGAAAAGTCAACCTATTTATATCTAAGTGACCAGTTCTCATCTGCATATATGAGCTTTGTACATCTTGAATACACCTTAACTTGGGGCAGTGCAGCATGGGTGTTTTTTTAAAAATATATTAAACAGAGAGCTGAAAGTACTTAGAGTTAAAAAAAGTAATCACTGGACAGAACATCCTCACTTTGAAAAAACTGGTATTCCTTAAATAATGCTTTGCTTGACTTCTTCTTAGGCCAAATCTATCCATGGAGAGATGCATGATGCAGGATAGTTTCAGATCTGTACCTTGTAAATCAGCAACTAAGCCAATTACCAGTCTGAATGGAAAAAGTACACCATGTGTTTCTCCTACTTCTATTAGAAATTGCTTAAATACCCTCAAGCCTCTGAGAAAGCATGTCACTCCACTTATCCACCTAATTTTATACCTTTACCTCAATTCTGGCCTATTCCTTTGTTCTCCTCTGTGTGTGGTTATTTTGTTAGGGCTCAGTGCCAGGGAGGTTTGCCTACCACCTATTCTGATGTCATTTCAGTTAGAGTTCAGAAACAACAGAGTGCAAGAGGGGCTCTGCATCTGCAAATTAACGGTATAGAAGGCAATGTGCAGCTGCTTTTAACCTTCATGAAGCAAGACAATTATATTGAGGTCCTTGCCTTTCACCCTATTGCAGAGAAGTGCTGACTATCATTACCTCAAGTTGAACATTTAAGATAATTTTATATTAGGTACTGACCTAATTCAGATGATCAAACAATCAAAGGTTAACCAGGAGATCAAATGAGCATACTAGTTCTTGCCCAGTCTGGGTTTTCAAAACAACCTAGGGATACTACATTCCTGCTATGTGGTCATGATGTCTGAACTCAGTACTCTGAGCTGTTTAGGAAAACAGAAGTTATGGGCACTAAGATTGTGTATGCCCAGGCTACCTGGGTTTACCTGACATTACTTTCAATAGGGATCCTATACTATGTAGGATCCTATCCTATGTAGAACCCAGTGAATTAGGTCCAATCTGAATTAGACTCTTCTCCTCACCTACAGGTTTGAAAAGTATTAATAATAATCACATACATCAGGCCTTTATGTTTTGGGCTCCATACACAGCCCCTGCCCCAATCCGAGTATGATGGTAGATGCATGGGTGTCAAGCAGACCTGGGTTCAAAACCAATCCCCTACAGTGTTCATACTTCACACAGTTAAGAGTCACAGTTAAATATGGATCAAACTATCCTTTTTCAGCATTGCTTTTCTCCCAACCTACCCCAGCAGTCCATTGTGAAGCTTCACTTTCTTCCATAAATGATATTTTTGTTTCTTTTGCACGTAGAGGGGGTGTAATAGACCTTGCTGGAGATGCAGTTGGAGTAACTAAAGGAGTAGTGCGAACACTGGATCTCAAAATAGACTGAGGAGTGAAGCCAGAGGAAGATGTTGATGTCAAAGCTTTAGCTCTCTAAGGAGAAGAGAAAACATCTTAAAAGGGGTGAACTAAACATCCAAGTAGAAGTCCATCATTACTTGGGTACGTCAACCTGTGAACAGTTTCCTGAAACCTTCACAGTTCTATATACCTTGACAACAGGGGGTGTTTCCAGTAATTTTAATTCTGGAGCTCTTGTAAAGTTCTTATGCAGTAATGTTCTTATAGAGCATCGAGGGTTGGAATGCAATGGACTGGAAAGCACACAGGAAGCAGAAACTCTTGGTGACAGCTGCAGACTGTTTCCAGGGGCTGGTGAATCGAGAGAAACAGGCTGGACCACCAGGTCAAGCAATCTGCAAATGTTTTAAAGTGTTTAAAAGAATTAAGTTGCTGTACTTTAACAAACAAAATGTGTCTGAGGTACTTCCAATGTTAAGATTTATGTGTTTATCAATGCTTTACCCACAGTTCACTTGTCAGTTTAGCTGAGCAATAAAAAAGCTTTCCAAGCACTGGTCAGACTTATTGCTAATACGAGCAACTCTCAATTCACACTACCGTGAATTAGTGTTACTGACTTCAGTGGGTCAGAAAACACCCAAAGGATATAAATCAGTAAGGAACTTCCAAATGCATTTCAGACCATTTAAACATTTTACCTGGAATGTTTCCTTGAAGACTTAATAACTGGTGTTCCAACAAATGGATCTGGAAGCTCTGTGTCACTGCAAAGATCTTTTCTAGGTGGCTGTTCTTCAGAGCTAGATTTTGAAAGCATGTGAGAGACCAAGTTCATATAAGTCACTAATACTATATGCAATTAAATGTTATTTTTTTCAAAGCAGAATGAGTTAAACAGAAGCCAGATAATTATGTAACATGTGTTGCCTCTCTTCAGTCTTTAAAGGTGCAATCCTATGCTGGTTGGAGCATGACAGGAGTTGTAGGCCTTTTTCTGTCCAAGCTTGCACAGGATTTTACCTTTTAAAAACTTTTGGCTTTTCACCTTTATTCCCCTCATAAGAGATACAGAAGTTTAACATTTCACAAAAGGGCACACAGTTTAGTATACTGCTGAACTTTGGGACACTTGTGTTAAGCTAAAGCATCCATTCTTAGAGTTCACACCTTTGGAACAGTAGCAATATCAATCTGTTCATTATGGTTAATAGAGAGAAGATGAAAAATGAGGACAGTTGCTCTGAAGTTTTTACTTTACAACTGGCCAACACAAGTTGTAATAATTCCCTAAGGCAACAAAATTAGTACTTACATGTCACTTTGAAATGACTTATTTTTCTGCTCATTTCCTACCCACACCTCTCCAATTTTGGATAGCACATTATTGATGAAAGTTGCTTTGGTAACTACATTTCCTGTGGCAGCTTGCTTTGCAACAGTAGATAATGGCTTTGGTCTCAAAACTAAGAAAAAAAGGAAAATCATTACAGTAAAAACTTTAGCACAGATCTTCAAAGGTTTCACTATCCCACAGAAATGAAATACTTACTTTCTCGCCTTAGTGAAGATGACAGATGGTAAGGCTTGGCTCTTTCTATAGCTAACTTCCTTTGTACCCTAGGCAGAACTTTCCCATACTGGTCTAATATAGAATTTCTGGCAACTGATCTCTCTCTCCAACGGGGATCATTCTATTTAAGAGAGAATGAAAGGAGTTCTAAATTACCATTTCATAGAAATAATTTAAATATGTCACTCCAATTTTTGCAAAGGCGTCAAAAGTAAAGTTATATCCATAAAACCAAGGGAGCAGGAAGATCATAGAGATTATCATGTTCATGAGTTTTTGATGTCAAGGTGGTAGGAAAAATTGTATGAATGATAGTGTAATGATTTAAAGTGCTACGAGACTGTGTTCCATTAAATGCTAGAACGTTTCAGGAGGGCAAGGAGGGCTAAAAGAAGGGCAAAGAAGAATGAGGTGATAGGCTGGTGACAGAGAGGATATGGGCAGAGCTTGGAAGTGTCAGAGGAGAGAGTGCTGGCACAACATTATCAGTCTGTCAGCTGTTAACAGGCAGAGTTGCGGTCAGTCAGACTCTGAAGAGGCAGCCCTCTCTTTAGAATCCTAGATAGAGCTGTGGAAGACATTTAGGATTCAAAGAACAAAGAGAAGGAAGTAGAATACTTAGAGGACATATTAATGACTAGGGAGAGTCAGAACCTAATATTGTCAAGTATTGTAAGGGTGTGGGAGAGAGAAGCTGACAGAAATCTGAAGGTAGAAGGGAAAGACTGAACTGAGATTTAAAAATAAAGACTGGTCAAGGAACATTCTGGAGAGAAAAGGAGGATTTGAGAGTGAGGAGTGATTGAGAAGGGAAAGCATGAGATACTGCCGTCAAAAGTTGTTGTTATACACTGTTTTATTTACTAAGAAAATAAGTTACCTAACATCTTGAAAACAATATGCTTCTTGTACAAATAAAGTTTTATTTGTATATTGCTAACTCAGCATCATAGGCTGTTTGAATGTCAGCATCTCATCCTCAACCACATAATCCAAAGAAGGAATTTTATTGCTTGTGCACAATATTGTGGGATCTTAATTAATAAGATTAGAATTAAATTCCTGGTGGCAGTGTTAGCTATCAAGAGAGTTTAAGATAGACCATATCCAAAGAAGAAAAGGAGAATACCCATGACAGATTGATTGAGTGGATAAATTTGGATCAAGGAACGCTCGTCTTACTATTAGAGAATACTGTAAGTACTGTAAATTGCCCATTTGTTCAGAATTTTTTATTTTTAGCTTATCTTCTCCTGAGGATTCAGGGTAGACACCTGGAGGAAGCATACTGTGATTGGTTGCAGTTGTAAATATAATATGGGTTGCAACTGATCTGTGACAAAATGAAATAAAGTTTAAAGTTTGAATTACTGACAGCCAGTATATAGTTTTAAAAAGAAAGTATGTTAGAAATTTGGCAAGATAGTAAGTATGCCAAAGTACAGAAATCCTTGTTATTCCTTTTGCTTTCTTCTTAGGATACTGGACACAATTGCCTGTTTTTTTTCCTCTTGATTTAGTACAGAGTTTATGTGGTGGGGTAGTACATGTAACAAAAGAGAGTTCCTGGAACAAAGTTGGGGAATTCATGAGATTTTTGTTATTCTAAACAAAACACGGATGGGGAACATGAGGTCCTCGAGAGGATATTGGATGGCTGCTCCTATCTTTCCTCCCAATTGGTTTTGCTGACTTGGACTACAGCCCATCAACATCTAGAGAGCTACCTGTTCTCCTTCTCTGTCATAGACAAACATACTGACATCTGATTTCAATCATTTTTCTAAGCTATCTAAAGTTCTGAAACTTTAAGAAAAGAAAGACTCCTGTTAAATACATATTTATAGTCTTGAAACTGGCCATTTGTATGAATCAGGCTTGATTGGAAGCCAGACCTACCAATAGCAATTAGATAATATGGAGTGTAGAGATTTGGAGTATGGGTTTGACTAACCACCAGTTTTTAGTAAGCTATTTTTAAAGCACCAAGTGTGATCATCTTTTCTCCAAACTGGCTCGTGATTCACTTAAACAATCATTCAAATGTCACCACCAGGTAATAGTTAATTTTCAAAAATTGATTTCTGGGAAGGGGGTTGAGGGGTCACTGTTTAGTTTGAAATAGCACAATTCTTTGTACAGTCTATCAAAGCCACTTTCCAAAGTAAAGGCTGTTTAATTTCTCACATGCACACCCGAATGTTAAAATTTACCATGAGGTTAGTCTTCAATGACTGATTCAACTGCAGAGCTGGAATATAGTTGGCACGCTGAAGGTGGTGAACTAAGAGGAACTCATGATTGTTAACACCAGTACTTGTGTGCAAGAACTTCTCTAGGCACTCCTAGAAAAATAAATGTAGATTATTACTTTCCTTTTCTAGATCAATTAGAGTCCAATGATGTAAACACTTACATCTCATGCCACCAGATTAATGATGTGTTCAATCACTTTCTTTGGAGCAAAATTGTACTTTTGAGAATCTGTTCTTAACCAAGGTTACCTGTTCAGTTTCCGTGAATGGTAGTTTTAGCAAATCTTCCATCAGTCCCAGCTCCTGACAGATTTCATATACATGTTTGAGCATCTCTTCCACATTTAGCCGGGTAGAATGCTGTCGTAACACACTCCATGCTTCCACCATACAACTGAAATTGATTTTTAAAATGTAGATTAAATGTGTGTCAGATCTTTCTGCTAGCATGTAAAGGCTACTAGTAAAAGCATTCAAAGTGTTTCACTACCAAAATATATATCACAAAAGAACTACAATGGTATTGAGAAGTATTGATAATATCTTGTTTTTAATTCAGGGTTATTTTAATTCATAAACATGGCACACTAATATCAAAGAGACTCCATATTTTACCTGTTAAAAAGCAAGACAGTAAGATGAAGTGCAACTTCACTGCTGCTCATCATTGATGGCTTCATTGTTTGTATGTATCGGAGGGCTCGCCTGTGCTCTCCCTGACACATCAGTGCTTGAATTATCCTCATGTGTTGCCAGTGCAATTTAATTGTAGCTGGATGGAACAGATAGGTCAAAGAATTCTGCAGGAGTTCAAGATGACAATTAGAAAACGTATTATGATGCCAGGGTCATCTATATTAGAGGCACATATTTATCAACTGTACCCAGGCCCCAGAGATCCATGTCAACAGCAGCCAGTGTTTCATGCACTCTCGGTCCCCAGGTTAAGAATGAGTTCCATTCCTGAGATCTTTAAGTTGAATTGTATGCAAGTCAGACCACATATATTACAAGCATATAAAACACTTATGAAGCACTTCCATATATGCTAAATTATCTTAAACATAATGCAGGATTTCAGTAACGATAATCAAGTTGTAATAAAGTAAAAATAGGTACTGAAGAGAGAGAATCTATATGCATGTGCATAGATATATAGTATCATTCTTAAAACAGTTTAGATAGAAAGATAGAAAAATACCAAAAAGATTGTTAACCCTAACCCTAACTCTTTCCCTCCCTCCTTCCTTCCAATTCTTCTCTCCCTCTCTCCCCCCATCCCATTGCTGACCAGTGCCTGCTCACCACAACCACCTGCCACTGGAGGACAAGGCGGGCTTCCAGGTTTGCTCATTCTTAAGAAGGGGTTGTTTTTAACTTGGACATTTGTAACCGGATATATACAACTAACCTTCCCTCCCAAATATATATATATATTTTCTGCCAAATATATCAACATTGCAGCATTGCAACAAGTAATCAACCATCTAAGAGATGTATTTATTTAGCAGTAAAGTCTTATGTGATGAAACTGAAAAAAGGGATTTGATTCATACACTGTTCCATAAATATACATATCTGAGGGCATATCTGAGGGAATGCTTCAAGCTACAGAAGCATTTCAGATAATTTAAGTGGGCCAGGTCTGCTCCGAAGTACTAAAAGTAAAAAGCAAAGCAAAGCAAAGCACCTTGCTATCATGCCTTAAGCAGGTCAGCTTGTCAAAACAGCTGGCACTTCAGTGGCCAGAAATTCTAAGTTTAAAACTAAAAAAGGAAATAAAAGCCAGCAACAATGCAAAGATTTGTGCTATACAGCCCTGTGTGCTTCCCTGCACAATTCCGCAGTATTCATATTGTGAAAGGAGGAAGCTATTATTGGTATAAAAGGCTTAACTCACACTGCTGCACCAGTAGTAGTATCAAATTTACACTATGGCAATAGTACAGAAGTCATTGCCCTTCTGCAAGCCACAGTATTGGAAAATAGAACAAACATTTGGTGTTATCGGACTGCAAACTAGATTGCTAAAAATCAATGCTTCCAGCTATATAAATTAACTGGAACTAATGTGATATTTTAATCTTTACAGAAATCTCCACTAAAACTAAAGTGTCACTTCATATACTTACTTCAAAGTCATTGTGATCCAAACACCAAAAACCTTGAATTAAGTTAACCAGACCTAAAGGGACTGCAAAGACAGTTGGGAAAGAATCCACTGAAGTATCATTCCTGTTTGGACAAGAGTGCATGATGTCCAATAGCAAATAAATTGTCTAATTAAAAATATTAAGGACAAACATAGTTTAATGACTCATGAAGTACTAGAAAAGAGAACATTCCCATTTATATTAACTATAATCCCTAAAGTTATTAAGTTTCAGAATATGACTCTTCATTAAATCATGTTTAATTTCAATGTTAGCAACATACACTAATTCTTTGAATTACACAATGCAGTTTCCTAGGTTTGAAAGATGCCCATGAATTGTGATAGCTTCATCATCTCCAGTAATTTTACTAAAATCTTGTGCCAGATCAAAGATATTCTTCTGTTTGTACAGCTTGTGTTAAAAGCATGAGAACTATTACAGCCTATAACAGAACTACATGAATTCTTGTTCTTATCCAAGGCTCCGAAAGAGGGCAGAGGGGCTCCCACCCATTCTGTGATGTTTAGCTTTGGGCCTTGTCCTGTGTGGCAATGCCCACATGTGTGATGCACAGAGACCATGAAGAACTGCATGAATTCTTGTGCAAATAGTCTTCCCATAAATGGCAGATTGTGCTCCTTTTCTGAACTTCCATGCTCTTGAGCCTTTCAGTTCTCTTTGCCAAATTAATAAAAGGCAAACTCAGTATTTTTTAAATAACTGTGAAAGGATACAGTTGCATGCTTGTAGAGTTCGTCAATATTTTCTAATAAGTAGAGATCAAGTAGTGCCTATAATTCAGAACATAGAGAGTCAGGTATTTCATTTGTAAAAATTTACCAAGCCTTTACCAGTCACACTTACATGCAATGTAGGAGGAGGGTATTTCCCTGTCCCTCCATCATCTCTCTGCCACAGCTTCACAACAGGATCGCCTAACTGGGAAATCATTCCATCAATCATCAAACAATCAGGGTTCCATTTGCCTCTGCAACAGCAAAGAAAAGTAATATTGTACAAACAACTTAATTCCCAAGTACTTACCAAGTCCAAGTAAATTTATAATTATATTACAGATTACATGATGTAGGTTTTTCTGTTGAATGAGTGAGCCAGTGGGATCTCTGCTGAAGTTTATTCTGCCAACCCCTTAAAAGCAGTTCAAGCTTCCTTGGATTTAAAAACTGTCTGCTATTAATTTCCAACTATGTCACATTTGAACAAGGTGATACACAGAGTGATGGAACTTATACAAAAACATATAAAGATTTTACAAATATTAGCTATCTCTGGGCAAAAATCAACCATTTTGGTATTGAAAGTCAATGCCTTCTCTCACTGATACTTTGCTGCCTCCTCTTTTTCTTATGACATGATTAGAAAACATCTTCAGAACGCTCTTACCTTGATAAGTGTTCTAGTTTCTGACGACAGCTAGCATAAAAGCGCTGTATTTGCTGGTAATTATAGAAAGGTCTTGACAATTCCATATCTTCATCTACTGACAAGAAATAAAATTCATTTAAAAACCCAGTTAGCTGAAAACAATACCAAATGAACACAGAATGCAAAATGCAGAATGGACCTTGAGAACAAGTAGCTCAACCATGTTGAAGCAGAGATATTGGTTACACTTGTACAAAATGACAGCCCACTCTGTGACTATGTTACACAGCATGAGTTGTTCATGGAACAACCCATGGTGCATCCAACAGATTATTGGGCTCACTGTGGCCTGTCCCCCACTCCTCCCTCCTTTGGTCCCTGGGGTACCCCTCAAGGGACTTCACAGTAGGACCCATCTTGTCTCCATTCCCAACTGTAATCCTGATCCTTCGCTAGTTGTTGTGCCTAATTTTTTATTTTTAATCTTTTTTTCTGCCAGAGATTGTTCTGATCTCCTCAGTGACAGCACTGAAGCAACACAATAGAGTAGCTGTCACTTCTTTGCTACTCATTCTTTTTCTGCTCTTTAGAACTGTGAAAATGTTGTTTTTTGGTAAGGTTTTTGACAGTAAGCAGTTGCTATCATCCCAAATGCCTTGCTTGACAATGTTCTGAATGGTGTTTCCTGTCAAAGCACAGAAGCCACCATTTATGGAAACTAACAGAGCAGGCTTTGCTTTTCATTAGACAGCTGTCAAACCATGCTGGTTTGTCATATTGTATCAACCTGGACTGCTTCCTGCAGAGTAGCTTGTTTGTGGGCAACAAACCATGCTGCCAACCCATAAACATACACAAGGAGGCAAAGGGGTGGTGGGGAGAAGGCCACAAGGAGAGAACAGGGATTCATGATTGCAGCAGGGAGCAAGAAAAAAGGGGGCTTTAGCCTCCAAGTTCCCTGGAATATGGGATGGATGAGTGGACTAATCAGCTTTTTTGATCTCTGAAAAGAAAAGTAGGGAAGCTACAGTGAGCAAAAAGGGGACTTGCAGTTGCAGCAGGAAGTGGAAACAAGGCAGTTTTCACTACTAAGTATCCTAAGATACTTGTTAGAGGACCAGCAAGAGAGAAAAGCAAGGGGGGTAGACAACCCACAGTGAGCACAATCTTTGTTGGTTATTTGCAAGAGACTTTGCTTCTCTAATACTGAAGAAAATAAAAAGATGGACTCCTTTTCTACAAAGGAGGGGAATCTGAGACTTGAGGGTGACTAAACATATTTAGCCAACTGACATTCCTACTTAAGTTATACATGTTAATTACTGCTCCTGGAGCTGTGCCACTACACATTGTTGCAAGAGATAAAAGGCTTTGCAGTTCAAAAATTACTATTCTGATAGGTTTATGAATATAGAATTTGCATTACTCTTGTTTAAAATTTGCTGCGTTTGATTTCTTAATAGTTTACCTGAACTTTCTGGAAGAAGGCTGGATCGACAGAACCATATGACCACTTGCACATACTGTGAAAGGAGACTAGTTACAAGCTGTTTGTTTGTTAGATCTGTAATGCCTGAAAAATGATTAACACAAGAGTTTAAGCATGGTGCATCCTTGACGAGCAGTATGTGACAGTTTGCAGCAACATTTCAATGATAACTGGTAACTATGACAATTATTTTATCCCTTTATTGACTATGTTGGTTGCAATTTATTTGGAACTGCACTCTCTCCCTCATCCAAGTAGGCAGAGCGCAACCCTTTACAGTGACTTTGAGGGAACACTACATACAGACAAAATAGGGCTGTAAAAATTACCAAATAACCTACATAGGCAAACAACTACACAAGGACGTATATCCTTCTTCAAGACCAAAAATGAGGAATAGATAGGCTGACTATGTTTTCATGGAATCTTCTTGTATATTAAAATGCAGTGTTTAGGGATCAGGTGCGGTTTAAGAGAAAAAAAGTTCCTTTCTCCACCAAGGAGGTAAAACTAGAAAAGCTGTATATAAACATTCATAAATTCCCTTTATAAAAAAAAAGAAGAAAAGCCTTGTAAGGTTCCTATTTGTTAGAAAGTGACACAAAACATTCTTCTTAATTTTGATCTCACACACCTTTTTCTGTCAGTTCTTGTGCTTCCATTACAAAACAGTTCAAAACTGTGCTAAGGTTGCTAAGAAGCAATTCACAATGCTGCAGAGATTGTAGAGTTTGTGGATCAGTAAAGTTAGATGATCCATCAAATAGTGGGGCACCTTATAAAGACAAAACACAAAGAAATTATAACAGTCTTAGATCAGAATAAAAGTTGAAAGTGCTCTCTTAACATTGTTAAATGAACCAAAAATTCAGTCCCATTATTGAATGTGTTCAATAAATGATACAGTTCCAAAGTATGCAATACTACTTACATAGGCGAACAAATTCTTCTTTTGTTTTAACTACTTTATTCCATGTCCAGTCAAGAACAAAATGCAAGTTTGGGGCAGAATCTGGTTGCTCTTAGAAAAATCAAAAACAGAAGTTATGAGCATAAATTCTAGAAGATAATTTAATCAAATAGTAAGTATTTACCTACCTTCAGAGGTCCACTGTTTGATGCAGCTAGTGAGGAGTCCCAAAGAACTAGTTTGGATAGCAGCTGATAATACAGCTTCAAACTGCTCTTCCTTTATTAAAAAAAAAGGTGGGAGATACAATGCATTGATATGCGTATTAATGCATTTTGAGGCCTAAATGATAATCATTTCAATACAGAGGCTCCAAACCAGCACTATTCGTCACAATGAACAACACTGGACAAAAATATAGGGTTCCATGCACTGCCACCAAATGATTCAATTCAAATGAAGCTCTGTTGCACATAGAGCAACCAGCTTTGGCAAGGGGATATCTAGGTAATATCAGAACCTATGATTGAACTGAACTAGATTTGGGTGTAAGAAATGAAGACAGTCACAGAATAGAAATACTACATTTTCATCCACATATTTATCATGGGCTCACCTGACTCAGGCTTGAAGGCTGTGCATCAATAAATCTTGGAGAAAGCAAGCCAGCGACAAGACATCTATTATAACCATCAGGAATAGCTTCATTTAAGCAACAACCAGATTTTTTTAAGAAATGCAAAGTCTGTAATTAACCACAAACAATTATTTATTAGGACAACAATTAAACTATCAATAAAAAACTGCGAAGTCGCACACTTGGCAAAATAAAGTCACAGGAAAAGTATGGTTGTCACCTTCCTTGCATGATTCTGTAACCATGCAGGAAAGCTTTACAGCAGTCATTACTTTTATTCTTAGTCACAAATGACAACATAAATGAATGGGAACAGGCAAGCTAGTAAAAATCAGAAGTTCAATCATTCTGGTGGACATATTATTAAGGCTGTTTAAGTGTTCTGAAAACCCTATCCATTGAAATCCTTTTTCTATAGCAACATTCAACTGAGATTCATCAGTGGTTAAGCATTCCTTATCCAATGCCTTGTCTGATTGAATTGAACCTATGCTTGCCAACGCCAGCATGCTTATGCCCCATAAAACTGAAATCCAAAGAACCCAATGCACAAGCAGAAAGCATTTCTGTGCACACAGAAGCCGGGTGCCTATTTCCCATTCCAACTATAACTCATAGCAAATTCCATAGTGGAGGTTCTTCTCCCACATACAGCTTTTCAGGGATCTTTAGACCCCGATGAAGGTAAAATGTATTCAAGTTTGCATGAAGCATTTTCTGGTGGAGTGGGGAATGCTTGATGACATTTATCTGGGGGTACTAACATCACAAAGCCTAACTCTCACTCCTGATTGCAAGCATGGTATAACACACTCCTGACTCTCTCTCATGCACATGCATGCTAGCCAGCTCAGTTTACAAACAAGATTCCAAATGATGTCAATGGTTGCAGATTTATTTGGAGGCTATTATACTGCAGCCAGATGTCCCAAATTCTGAATTACCTTGGTATGATACCCCTCCCTCATCAAGTTCACTCCCAGAACTTATAAGGTAGCATGGTTATAGTCTCATTTAATTTTCCAAGCAAAATCAGACTCATCATGAAAGATAGTAATAGTTCAAAGACAGAATTAAGGAAGCAATCTATCCATGCTCTTCTCTCCACTATACAAGTTAGCACTCCATATTTTTGTTATCTTTCAGGCAAATTTGTTGGTAGTAATCTGGTCCAAGCCATGAACAAATAATATTGAATTCTATATGCTTCAGAGCTTTCCATTCCAAAAAAATTTGGTCTTCAGATAGATGAAAAATCAGATATTTTATTATTAGTTTCAATAACAGGAGAATCACCAAAGAAAAGGCAAAGAATAAAGCATACACTGAAAGATATCATTAAAAAGCAATTGCAATCAATGAAAAAGAAGTAAGATTGAGTCCTGGTACTTTTTCATTGCCAAATTGTCACAGTAAATTTTTGTAATTCCTTGAATAGTTTTTAAGTGGTTGGTCAGTGAACTTTTAAAATGTTTCAGAGTAGACTAGTTTATTTACAATCTTAGCTTTGTTAGCTTTGAAAATAAGTCTATTGAAATTAAGTGCCTGCTTTTTATCAAAAAGAAGGATGGGTACAGAAGGAACAGAGCCAAATCTTGGTCGTTATTCTCGTAACTCTAGTCCTCTATCAGCTCCATTGGCTTCCCATTGAAGTCTGGGCTCAATTCAAGGTGCTGGTTATTACCTATAAAGCCCTGAACGGCTAGGGACCAGGATACCTAAAGGAACACCTTTTTCCCTATATGCCCTCCTGCCCCCTAAGATCGGCAGCAGAGGCTCTTCTCCGGGAACCCTCTTTCAAAGAGATTAGGAGAGAGAGTACTCAGAGGAGAGCTTTCTCTGCGATGGCACCCCGACTTTGGAATGTGCTCCTTAGAGAGGTCTGCCTGGCGCCGTCATTATATGCTTTTCGGTGCCAGGTCAAGACCTTTTAATTTAACCAATATTTTAAAGTTAGTTAATTTTAATGCTATATTGAAGATGAAACTCAAATACTTTGGACACCTAATGAGAAGGAAGGACTCCCTGGAGAAGACCCTAATGTTGGGAATAATAGATGGCAAAAGAAGAAGGGGATGGCAGAGGATGAGGTGGCTAGATGGAGTCACTGAAGCAGTTGGTGTGAGCTTAAGTGGACTCCAGGAGATGGTGGAGGACAGGAAGGCCTGGAGGAATGCTGTCCATGGGGTCACGATGGGTCGGACATGACTCCGTGACTAACAACAACAACCAAACAAGCAAATAAATCTTCTTGTGAATAAAAAGTAGGCTAATAAAAAATCAGCAGTGAAATGGCAACAGAGACAGAGTGTTCCATCCTTCCTCACCAGTTGCCTGGATTTAGTTCAGACAGCAACTAGGAAGGAGCTATGTAAAAGATTCCTATTAAGTGACTGACTTTGTACAAAAGTTTGTTGAGGGCAGAAGTGTGATGTGTTCCTCCCCCCCTCCCACTGATGAGAAAGAGTGGATAGTTTACAGAATGTAAGGTAGTCTTTTATTCCCACTGGTTGCATTTATAGGCTCATTTCTAGCAAATGTCCCATTATATTAATGAATTAAAGGAGGTGACCATGCTTGAGACAGGGTATCTGATATTCATCAGTAAAGGTATGACTGTGCCTTACTGTCAACTTGCCGGTTTTTCCACCCGCAGTTCACCCTGCCCTGGTATCCTCCCTCCAGCATTCCACTATCCTGGCTTCCTGATACCTTTTTTAACTGCTCCCCTTCCCACTGCTCACCTAAGTTCTTCCCAGTTACCACATAACAGGTCTCTAAATAATATTTTTCATTCTGTGTGGGGCCCAGAGGGACTCTGAAGAAATGAAGACGGATGTGGCTGGAGACCAGAGTTTCACTTTAAAGTTATGCCATATGCTATTAAGGACATTTTTAAAATTTTAATTATTACTTTCAGCCCTTGGTCCTTAAGACACTGTTGGGTAGTGGCAAAGGTAAATTTCAAATCCCATCTCAAAGACTGGCAACTGTGCTCTGGCTTTCACACTCTGATCCCCTCCACCTCATTGCAGGCACTGCACTGAGGTCACAAAAGTGTCTGTGGGAAAGGATAAAGAAACCTTATGGGGGAAATGTCTTGAGAAGACTGGAGCAACCAGGATACAAAATATCCTGAGATCACACCTGTCTCTTCCCCTTCCCCTGTGAATCTCTGTCCCTAGATGGCCAGAAGTGGCTATGTAGCAAAAATGCAGAGAAGGAGAAACAAGGGGGTAAAGATCACCTCCCCAAATCTGAAAACTTAAGGGCATCCTCACAGGATTGTACCCTGAATCAGGACATCTAGGTGTTTGCTTACCAGTTCCTGAGTTAAGAGTATAGTGAATTAATGTATGTACCTTATGCCAGAAGATTTTTCTATTTTCCTTGGCATGGTTGTTTCAAGTAACCTTTTTCAGGTGCCTGAGATATAAAACTGTCAAGGCAGAACTGACTTGTATTACCTTGATGAGTTTCAAATGTAGAGAAAAATGCAAATATACACAACACTACAATGAGAAGAGAGAAATAAAACTTACGTCCTTTTGAAACCCTGTGCAAGTCAAATGAATAACTCCAGAGTTCAGCAAGCAAGTAGCATCTGTGAAACAGAGTATTTCATTAGGACTGACACTACCCACAAGATGAAATTATGATTATGCTTATTTAGCCAAAAAAGTTAATTAAGTCCCATATCTGCTTCCCTTTCTTTGCAGAAGACTCAAACATTTTTTTTTAGAACACAGGTGGGGATGCGTCTTGGAAGCCAACTTTCGTCAGTCCCAGTGAGTCAGGGTATTTGGGCATTAGAATCTACCATCATCTGGTGGGCCACAGGTACACCACCCCTGGTCTATTTCTATATCTAGAGAGATTGGAACATTCATTACTTATCGAGAATGTACCTTCTGGGCTGGTGTGCAGAAGGCAATCCACAATGGGTTAACTCCCTCTACTGCCCAGGAAAAGCAGGGCCCATGTGATCAAACTTTTGTTTAGTCTACTGGTCACAGGCATCTTCCTGTCAGTTCCATTCATGGCTATAGGTCAGAAAAAAAGAGAAACAACCACTGGAGAGAGGAGAGCACACTGAGGATAGTGAGCCTAGATATACACCCAGAAGAGAAACTGGCCCAGGTAGACACAGAGGCTGATGACCCCAAGTGATTACACTAAAACCTGCGAAACAGATAGAGTACGGCTGGAATGCCTTTGGCACACCAACCCAAAGAACTTTCTTAGTAAGTAAACAATGTTCCATTCTCCAGGATGGTGCAAGGAAGGCATCCTGCAATGGGACATGCTAAAGCTTAACAATATATGCTGGGTATGTGAGATTTGTGTAGTATTGTGAGGATGCTACTGTTGGAAGGCCCTCCTGCTGAGGTGAAGATATCTATTCTATAATGCCTCATGAAGGAATTTGGATTTTCTATGTTGCAGCACTACACATTTCTGTCCATGGAGGCATGTATACCAAGTGCTGCTGATATAGCTGTTGACCTGCAATGATATCAACATATTTTAAGAAGCATGAAGCTTTATAAGTTGAAAAACTGCAGGCCTTATGCCATGTGGCTATGACTGAACTGGATAGCTTTTCCCCCCACAGCTGTGAAATGGAAAAAGACAAAAGAGTGACAGTGATTTTCTGAAAGTGGTGACTCAATTTTGAAAGATTCTGACTGCCCTGAGTATGACTAACCTGGGCCAGTCCTTCTCCAGGGTGTAGAAAGGAAGTAGAATTCATTTGTATGCTCCATGGCATTTGCTTTAGAGCTAAGGGTAGGGTTTGGTCACAAGATGACTGCGGCCTTTTGAAAGGAAATGAGACTTTCTCCAACAACACCAAGAGTTTGGAAATTCTTTGCAGGAAGGTGATGACTCTCAGGAACACCACCTTCTGGCACAGAAATCTGAAAGGTACTGTTTGGGGTGGCTGAAAGAGGCTTTTGGTCAGACTGAATAAAATAGATGGAAGGTTACAGAATGGAAATCTATAGACTGCTGGTAGATTTAAGTAACTGCCCCCACCCCCAAGAAACAGGTGAAGAATGAAAGCTTGGTAGAAAACAAGCAAGCTTGGATCATATTAACAAAAGGGCCAAAGTTTGCCTGCATATGACACCTGGTTTGAAAGATAGGCTACTATGGGTCTTACACATTATATGTTGCACCATCTAGTGAAGGTTTTCTAGGAAGCTGTGTGTGTGTGTGTGTGTGTGTGTGTAGTGTGCTTTCCACGAGTCCCATAAAGTAGTTATAATGAAGTTGGCATACCTTAGGGAACAGCAGTCTGTTCAACAGTGATGCACTGTTCAACAGCAGTCTGTTCAACAGCTAACTAAAGCCAACCTGGGTCTAAGTGAAAACAAGGCCTTGAGAGAGAGGAAATCTGGTACTAGAAGGAGAAACCAGGGTCCAAAGATTATGAGCACCTAATCTTAAGTGGATTATTAGGATGACATTAGTCTGTTCTGACCTGAACTTCTGCCATATCTCTGCTATGAATGAAGTTGGGAGGAATGTATAGCATTCCCCTTCTGGTCATTTGGTACTGAAAGCACCTGTAGTTTATAGGAGTGGCAGCTAGAAAATGATCTCAGGAGTCTGATTGCAAGGTGCAATGAAGTGCCAGGAGGTCCAGCATGTGCAAGTCAAACCTTGTCTGAATGTCATGAAAGATGGGGTGGTGTAGACTTGCTTTAGATATGTTGGACAAAGATATATTGTTTTAGATATACTGGTTGCCCAAGAAACATGGTTTGGCTTTTTGAAGGAGGGGAGAAACGTGAGTACGAAGGAAGCATAACTTTGTTTCCCCACAACTGTTTATGCAGTTGCATAATGATGTTGTCTGTCTGGATAAGAACATGACAGTGCTGAATTTGGCTGGAAAACTGCCTCATGAATAGTGAACTGTGTTTTGGTTGTGTCTGTCCAACATTCATAGGCCAATAGGTCATTGAAATGTATGCTCCATCCGTTCAAGCCAGTGAATTTAGATGGTTTCTAGAGAGGCATTCCTCTTTGAAGATCTGCCACCAGAGAAGAATAGCTTTGAAATGAGGAAGAAGAGAATGTCGCAATGTTCCTTGAGGATGATCTGTAGCTAGAGACAGAACCACTGGCAATGGCAGAAATACAAGTTGACTCATGAAACTATCTCCGAGCAGGAGATCATCATGCAGGCAAAGTACATGCAATCCAGTGTTTCCTCCAAGGGTGGCAGATTCCTGTTGACTGCTGGAGCTTGACTGACCTTTCCAGACAGAGAGAGGAACACACATCTTCATTGTGACTGTGTAAGGCCCTAGATATATAAGAGTTGTGTTGGCTGAAGGTGCTTCTTATTGCACTTGAAGTCATGCTGTTGTAGGCAAGAGGTGGTTAGGTTCTCATCTAGAGGCATTTCTTTCTTGAGGGTGCTCTGATGGGAATGTTGCCAAGAAAGTGGTAGATGCTTACCACTAGACCATGAGCTTTGTAGGGTTGCCATGAAAAAGCTTGGCCCATATTTGTTGCACTTTCTTTGATAGGCAAACCTTACGTAATAGTTTCTATTAGTATGTGGAGGTAAGCTTCTATGAATTCTCCTTATGGATAACATAACCTACTTTTAATCATTGATCTCTGCCAAATCTTTCAGCGCTTTCCACCAAATAGGCATGAAAGACATTACACCTAGGTTTTCCACAGAATGAGTCTACATTCCATTTTTTCAGCCAAATAGACCTGTGTGCTGTGCCACCATTGTACACTGCCTTACAGTGTTCCCTGCTTTTATTTATTAACATTTTGTTGTTTTGTAACCTGGAATTGTAATAGATTAGATTGATATTTATGCCTCTTAATATACACGAGATACTCAACACTGTGAAGGATCAGCATATGTCTACTGTGGCACAAAAATTCAGTGAACAAAAGCAAACTGGCACTTGCTGTATTTGGCAAAAGCATGATTTATCAATTACAGCTACCAATTTTCTTGGGTCTCTAACAGATCTGTACATCTGGATCCTATCATGTTTGCCTGTTCTTCCTGGTATAATTGCTCTAGCACTAGCAGATTGGATGGGGACTGTTGGTGAAAGCAAGTATGAATTATTGCTACAGATTCTCAATCAGACTGAAATCTCTGGGCTTTGGGCTATTTCAGTACATTCAAGTTATTGTTTCTAAATCACTCCACTGTTACCTTAGCTCTGTGTTTAGGGTCAGAGTCCTAATGGAAGGTGAACTTCCACCCCAGTCCCATGTCCCTTTCAAACTGAAACAGGTTTTCCTCCAGAGTTACCCTATATTTGGTTTCATCTTGTTCTTGATCCTGGCCAGTTTCCCAGTCCCTGCTGATGAAAGCATCTCACAGTATGATGCTGCCGCCACTATGCTTCTCTGTGCAGATACAGCTCACAGGTAATAAGCACTGCTGGCTTTCTATCATGCACAGCATCTTGCAGCAGGCCAAACATTTATCTTTTGGTCACATCGGATCAAAGAACCTTGTTTACACGCTTGCTACATCTCCTGCATGCAAATTCCTAATACGCTTTGATATGGGCTTATTTCACCAATGGCTTTCTTCTCACAACTCTTCCATAAAAGTCAGCTCTGCAGAGTATCTGGGTGATAGTACTATGCAGTTTTCTCCTACCTCAGCTGTGGTTCTCTCCCACAACTGGCCAGTTGGTTACTTCTGACTAATACACTCCTTACCCAGATACTGAGTTTTGGTGGACATCCTTCAACAGGCAGAATTGTGGTTCCAATAATGGATTAAATCCATTGTAATAATGGATTTAATGCTGCTCTAGGGAATGTTTATAGTTTGGGATACTTGTTTTATAACCTAACCCTGACTGGGCTAAAGTTGTGCATTAGCCCCAGAGTAGTTTTGATAGCTCCTTGGTCTTCATGATGCCGTTTGCTTAGCTACGTTCTCCACCAAACTCTGAGGCCTTCTAGAAACGAATGTATTTGAGATCTGATAAGGCCCTGGAACTACATGTAGCTAGATGCCTTCAACTACAATATGTGTTTTCTGGAGGCAGTGGGTTGCTCCAGAGCTTACTGAGGCATGTCACAACAAAGGAGGTGAATACTTATGTAACCAACAATTTTGTACAGTTTTCAGATACTTCAATGTTGTGCCATAATAACCATGTGTTGCATCTTCACAGTGATCAATCTTCTGTGCATATCAAATGGTAATTAAATCCATTTCAATTCCAATTTGTAACACAGTGAAACATGAAAAAGTCACATGAGGGTAAATACGTCTGCAAGGCACTGTAGCTGCAATAGGTCTGGTAATAAACTGCAGTACCTCCTGTGAAAGAAAAAAAAATCAGACAACTTTACCAGGCCTCAGTAGAAGTCAGTTTGATACAAGTTTTTGTTGTTTATCATGTCTTTAACCCATTAATATAGGGACTCTTACAAAATATGAACAATCTACTAAGGCCTGCAAAGCCAAGGCCAAACCCTCATAGGCCATGGGGAAGATGGGTAAGTCTACGCCTATTCCCTGATCTTTTAGGGGCGCACCCGTCCTTAGGCAGGACTGTACCTGAGAACAGTGTGTTAACAGGGCCATCGATTACTGAGGCCTCAAGCAAGTCTATGACATTCTGAGGTTTGTGTAAAGGTATTGAGCTGTACTGAGGGCAGACCATTGCTACTTGTTACTGAAAGAGGAGGTCAAGGGCACCTGGTATTTGGAAAGCACACTCCTCTCAAGATTTTTCTTTGGTTTCACAACATTTATGGCTAGAGGAGTAATGGTCTTGGACAATACTGGGAGGAAATCCTCTTTACTGAAAAATCTGGTATTGGGAGCATCCTTGGTGGCTGTCCTATTAAACACTCCTCCTCTATCTGGATTTGCATCACTGTACAAACATGCCCCGTTCAAGTATTGTGTTTCTGTGGGGATACCTACAACTGTGGAGTGTGGATTTGAGGAACCTTCTCTTAAGGCGGCAGCTAAATGTTGGAGAGAAGCAAGGTCAGCATGACAATGTACCTAATTTTCCTTGGGATTTTTTTTGCCTAGTTCTCAATATTGCCAAGTAGGAAAGATAAGTCTAAAGAACATGAACCATGATTATGTGTCTCAATGTGTGTTGATATTTCCTCTCGATTATCCAGTAAATAGTTGGTTAGTTCTTCCAAAAAGGCATTCTTGAACTGTCCAAGGACCAGTTGTCTACCTAAGTGGAAGCTGAATATACTGGGGCACTAACGGCTAACTCTGCAGGGAGAGGAAAGAGTGGGGTTGCTCCAACCGCAGGAATTGAAATGCCACCCCAAAACAACTGACACCTGCACTTGGCAGGAGGAGGTTGCGAGAGGGGAGGAAAGTGCAACATGGTTCCAGCCTTGCTTATAGCCCTGGTGCCTTCAATTGAGAGGTGTGGGATGTTGTTAGCTTGTTCACCTCCAAGTCAGAGTAGATTTGTATTATCAGTTCCAGGTCAGCCTGAAAGAGGGTGACATGGTGCATGGTCCATGGGCTGACACTTGTGCATAGAAACATAGAAACAGAGCGAGTCAGAAGGGGTCTCCTGGGCCATCTAGTCTGACCTCCAGCACCAGCCAGCTCCGCTCATGACATGCCCACCGCTCATGACATGTGCATGTAGCCATGAAAATCACTGTGGCCTGCACAGTGGTGGTACGATAGAGTAACAGCTACAACCCACAGACGGCTCTTCACAGCTTGTTCTTCCTCTGCTTTGGATGGGAAAATGCATCTCTGATCAGTAGCAGAGGTCACGGGGACACTGACAATCCTCTTAAGATGCAAATTTGATTAATGGCACTTGCTCAAATTACAGGACTTGGGACTAAATTTCTTCCCAGTTGGAGCCATAGTAAAAGAAAGAGTGAAAGTGACAGAAGAGAACCTTTTTTAAAAACTAGCAGGAGGGACAGGAAGAATAGCATAAGAGCTATACGGCATGGAAAGTTAAACCTTTGAAGGAGATTGACAGACTGTAATAGCTTGCAAAGAAATGGTATCCTGGGCAAAAAAATGGAGATGAACTAGTGGGAAAAAACCTGGGACCAGTAAACTAAAGGCAGGCATAACCTACTTGCTTCTGTTTCTACCCTCTGCTACCCAACTCCTCCCTTCAAGGCCAAAACCTACTCATCTTGGGGAAAAAACATGGCAGCAGAAGACTTCAACGAAGATTGGAAGATACTGGTGAGCTGTGCATCTGCACAGAAATAGTGTGGAGGACATAACTTCTAGCTGAGGTATCACAATGCTTGTATTATAGCATACAATTCTCCATAATGTGTGCAATTTCTGTACAGATGGCTTGCCCTCACCTTTACTGAAGCCCTGCTACCCTGTCCTTCTTCCCAAGGGGAGATGTTTTGGAGGTCTTGGTATAGCAACTAATGGATGGCTGATATTTTCATCTGTCAAGAGTTAAGCTGTATATTTTCAGTGTCCTATGATTTTCTGGGAAAGCACCGATCTGATTATCCAACACAAGCCTCTACCAGTATTAGAAACCCTGTTTTTGCAGGAAAATATTGGTCAAGATGTCTCAGATCTGCTTCCCACAAATGAATGGCCTTAGATATGGATGGAGTGTGCATGTTCCTCTCTGCTACCAGCAAATATCTCCAGCTCCTGAAGCTTGTGACCAGTCAACTTTTGCAATTTGGGTTCATCATTTTTCAAGAGTCAATTTGAAGTGCCTATCTGATTAAATTTATGCTGATGATGAAGATAATACTGTATTATACTAAAAATTAGTACTGTTGAGCCACACTAGTGAAACAACATTTTGCTCCTGCATCTATGATGAGGACTAGTATTTCTGCTGGAGAAGGAAGAATGGCTTGCATACCTTTTCTTCATGGTGCTTAAACACAAGGAGAAAGCACACAGCCCAAACAATTTTTAAGGTTACAAAATAATGGCTGCAGAAAGAAAGTAATTTCTCTGATGTTTGATCCCCCTTATACCATTGAAATGACTACTTGAATGTTCCTTTTAGTGACAAATTTTAATAAACTTCTAATTAAGTAGTCAGATGTTGTAAGGAAGAGTGCCTTTTTCACCAGTGAACTTAGCCACACCAGCCAACAGGTACCCTATGACATGAAGTTGACCATATTCTATATTCAAATACACTATCATACATTTTCTTTTTGGGGGGGAGGAACCCCAAGAATACTGAGATTTCAGTTCTGGAAAAATTGCAACAGTTACAAGTGGAAAACTGGGTCACCTGACACAGCATAAGCCTGATCATTCCTTTAAAGGCTCTCACAGCAGCATGGCCAAAACTTTTAGAAATTACACAGGAAACAACTTTCATTGTCAATTCTTCTTTTCAATATGCTCCTGTAGAAGGAATTGATAGTATACATACCAAAGTTGTATGTGCTTGGGTTAAAAAACTGTTCGGGTGGAGGATATGAAGGAGGCACACCACGATTAAAGCTTCGTTCATGCACCAAGACATCCAAGATGCGATGTGGAGAAGTAATGCTCACTACAGCATCCAGGGACCACAATGCAAAATAGGGACAATTATGCAGAAATTCCCCTGGCCTTAAGGAAATAGGAAAAAAGACAGATGTCAAACTCTTAGTTTTGAAGATTTTTTAAAAAAAATTTTTAAATATTACCACTTACCTTAATGAATCTGGCATTTGAGCATGATACCAACGATTTATGTCAAATATACCCAAATAGGTAGAAGGTTTTCCTTGCCCATAGGTGTTCACTTGCCAGCTGAATACAGATACACTTGTGTCAGGTGATATGACTGGTAGCAGAGGAAGAAAGAGAGAGAAATAAAGAGATGGGAGCAGAGTAAAACATGTTGGAAAGTATTAAAAGATCAGTTTCACTGAATATGCCTTACAACAAATTTGAAGGCTAAAATAAAGCCTTGACATATTATGATAAAATATTTGTGTATGTATAGTCTTGACGAATCTGAGTATCTCACACTTTCTCAGTTTCACTGCCTACTTGCATACCAATCCTAGCTTTGCTTACTTGAATTAAGTAAACATGAGACTTTGTTAAATCTTCAAGCTTTGAAAAAACATAAATATAATTTTGGAATATTAACAATAAAAGAACATTGTAGGGAATTTGCTAGTCATCAATAGCTGTGAGTCACCTAGCTCTCTTAAAATGTGTTCAATACTAACCTTCATTAATACCATCTTCTCTGTCAACATGGCTTCGAAATTTTTCCACAGTTTGACAACCAATTAATTTGGTGTTGCTAGTTTGCCCTCTCAAAGAGAAAACTCCTCCTGTTAGGTCTAGACTGTACCTTTCTTCACAGTACTCCAAACCCTGGGAATAAAAAAAAACCAAGCACAGTAATTATACCAGAACAGTATGGAATATACAGATCATCTAGGTTTTAGGAAGTTTCAATAAGAGCAAGAACCAGAACCAGAGGATGGCCTAAACTTCTGAAAACACTTTCCAATAGGCTCAATACTGCCTTAAGTAAATTGTTTAATGAGGTGGGGGGGCAAGGAAAGCTTTCTGCCTAAGAAATGCCACATGTTGACAGCTTCTACATTTTTTGGAAGTACAACAAAAAGCAACTGTTTCCACTAAGAACAAAGAGCTATACAGGCACATTTGTGCTTCATGCCCAACACACACTGACAACTGCCCAGAGAGCTCTGGCTGTGGGGCAGCATTGATATGAAATAAATAAGCCACAGTGAATTGCCTGTTGTGTGAACAGCCTGTGCTGAGTTCAGAAGATGCCCCTCCTCCTCTTCAGTCCTCATACTCCCTGATGCAACCCTAAACCATTTCAGCACACTGCTTTTTTCCCTTTTAGGCTTCTAATTGGCACATTGAACAGGCTGTCGGTGATTAGGAGACATTGTTTTAAATTGCTTCTACAATTCCTGTGCCCTTGTCAGGACTCCTAAGGATTCATGTTCTGAGCACAATTATTGTCCAGGTTAGTTTTCAATAATTCAATACAAATTTTAAATGGGTGGGGCAAACCAAGTTATACTGTGCCTACTTGTCAAAATCTCATTATATAGTGCATCCACATACAGTTTGTATCATTTTTTTTAAAGAATGCAAACTCAGAACTGTGAAGTCAATCCATATTTGAGAAGCTGGATAAATGCATGAAGGGCAAATGTAGCCAACAATGGGTTAAATAAAAAAGCATCATTCCACCAGCAGAACAGACACCCATAAGTGACTCAAATTGGGAGGTTGGAAACCCTTCTGTAACAGATTTGCAGGGGGGGAGGCTGCAGGAAGAGCAAGGTAAAGAGAAAATCCTGTAATGTGAGTGAAATTGCTTGCACTATGTAGCTTAACACCATGACAGAAAAATACATTACCTCATACATGATTTGTCCTGAAGCCAGTCGCCTTCTGTCACTGAAGGCCAACTGCAGTAGATGGAAACTCACAATATCTCCTTCACTAGAATGAAATAAGACTTTAATGTAGAACTTAAGCATCACATTATTTGTCAGATATTATTTCTTTTTAGGGAGCAAAAAGGTGCTCACAGGTTTCCTCACAGAAATTTACTAGCTTCTGATGACTATGAAGACCCTAATCCTAGAATTCTACTTAAAACTGTTTTGAAAATGATTTGACTACATTAATTTAGAGTTTTGCTAAAGCATTCATTCCCATCAGAATACTACATACAAGAATCCAAAATACTAGAGACTCTCCAATGAGGCCCACAAAACACTTCCCATAGCACCCATGGGCATCAAATGTTTTAGTTATGTTTTCCTTTTCAAAGGTAAGTATGAAATCATATAACTTTCTAACAATTATGCATAGGCTTTGATAAAAGAAGACCAAACATCCAAAACACTTGTATTTGAAGGTGTCTATGTGCCACCCATTCATTTATTATATGGTCCTCAATCAACTGCATTACAGGCAAGTATTTATCCTTCCAATTTCATATTAGTCTTTTAGCTGGTAAAAGGAAGCAAAAAATAATTTCTCCTTCTATTTGTTAATCTCCCTGAACAGTTAAACAATTTTAAAAAGCACATACATAAGTTAGTATTTGGAACTGTTCATGTAGAAAATACATCTGCATAATAGTCTTCTCCCAAAAAGGGACAACTATGGGACACTGCCAAACATGTTTAAAAGTAGCATCAGATATATTGCACCACCAGTTAGCTGAAAGAGACAATCCCTTATTAAAGAGATACTGTAGTATCCAACAGACATGAAATAAAAGTTTTTGCTGAGTAAAACACATCCTAAGGTCCACAGATACAACAGAAGCCAAAGCGACAATCCACTAATTAGGCATTTTGGGTTGGGGCCCTTGCAACAGACTGATTTTCAAGGCAGCAATCCCATGTACACAGTACAAGTTAAGATTTAGCCTTCATGCAACTTATTATCTTCACGTTTTGACTCATTTAGATAAGCATCTATTGTGTTTACATACCTTTCTTGGGTTGACTGAATAGCCCACAAGTAGCAACAATTGCGAGGATCATTTTCAGGTTCTTGAAAAGTAACGGCGTAAACTGGAATTCTACCTCCTTCTAACTGGGAGTGATATCTAAGCACAGGAGCGAAGAGGAACCAAAAAAAAAAAAAAAAAGATGGTTAACTCTGCAAGACTTTTTCTTCAGTTCAGAGACTATGTATTATTCAGTTCTAGTGGTAGCAACTTCCACTGTTTCAGCAATGGAGGCATTTAAAAAGCCTACAGAAAGATAATTACCAAGATGGACTCTCTCAGTCTAACTATAGCTTCTATTTTTTATGAAAGTCAATCCATACCAGGTTTTACCTGCCCTTTGTCATTCAAATTATACAGTCAATACTTCCCTGCATTATAAATTGGGAAAAAGTGATACTTGGATCAGTACGCAACACATCATAATGGCTCCAAGAGGCCCTTTTCTTTGTGAAGGGTTGTGCAGTCCAGCAGAGGTCCCCACTGAATAAAGGGCGATGGAAATGATTTTTGTCAATACCCCCTTTCTTATCCCTGTGTTAACTCCAACACTACTTCTAGAAAACCCTCCCAAAGCTTCGGAGTAGAATTTCAGGGGACTGCAGAGAGGAGGAGGAATCAATAAAAATATCTTCTCCACCATCTTTCAGCAGGAGAAACATGTGAATTTAGCCTCACTCACAGGAACTTTGGATTGAAGTCACCATCACCTTTACATTTGTCTGTTCCTACTTAATTATTGTATAGCCCTGTCTACCACAAGTTAAAGCCAAATGGAGTTCCAGCCATTTGCCCCTTCAAGTTGGCTTTTTAAAGCACTGCTTAAACCAAATCATACAATAAAATAGTATGGTTCACATAATTGACAAACATGAACTAGTTATAGAAGCTAGTTAATGTAAGCAACTTAAGAAAAGGCTGGCCTTGTGCATATTTTATATATATGAAGACTTTCTATGATCAGTATTGCAAATCTCTTTCATTTTATTTCAGTGAAAGACATACTCCATTTTTCATATGAGTATTACTTACTCTTTTTTCAAGGTTTTCATGTTCCACAACGAGAGATATCCATCAGAAAAACCCACAACCAACTGGTTGCTTCTGTGTATGTATGAGAGGGTTGTCACAGCAGTTCCTGATGGGTTCAATAACTGGAAACAGAGATGCCGACCTTTCCTTGTTATAGCTTCCCTAATTTGTGGGATTTCTGGAGGGGTTCCAGTGATAACTTCAAGATCTGTTTATATGGCAGATGCAACAATGTTATGTTGTCTTTGATGTACCTCTTTTAAGATCAAAAACTAAACTGAACATACAAAGGTAGATCAGGAAGATCTGCTTCATTTTTCATGCGTTTTCATTTAAAAGCTTCATTTATTTTGCTTTTCCTTCATGTGAATTGTATGCACTCATTTTTTTCATACATTTCAATATAAAATCAGTCCATCTTCTACTGTCTAACATTGGTCATTTGCATCTATATCACCATATATTCTATTAACCCCTCTGCATAAGGCTTATGCTGTTGTCATGTGCTGTCAAGTCATTTCCAACTTATGGTGACCCTATGAGTGAGTGCCCTCATAAAAAAAAATTCATTAGGCAATGTTATTGTTGCTAGTCGCGAAGCTGCATCTGACCCACCACGACCCCATGGACAACATTCCTCCAGGCCTTCCTGTCCTCCACCATCCCCCGGAGTCCACTCAAGCTCACACCAACTGCTTCAGTGACTCCATCTAGCCACCTCTTTCTCTGCCGTCCCCTTCTTCTTTTGCCATCTATTGTGCCCAGCATTAGGGTCTTCTCCAGGGAGTCCTTCCTTCTCATTAGGTGGCCAAAAGTATTTGCGTTTCATCTTCAGTATCTGGCCTTCTAAAGAGCAGTCAGGGCTGATCTCCTCTAAGACTGACTGGTTTGATCTCCTTGCAGTCCAAGGGACTTGCAGGAGTCTTCTCCAGCACCACAATTCAAACAGCTGCCCAATGACAGGTTCATTCACAGAATAAAGTGGGGACAGATGATCCTATTTTAGACTAAGTTAAAACAGACTCCAGACACAGCCTAAAATCTAGACTAAATTAAGTATTTAATTCTTCTGCTGCTTCTCTGCTTGAAAATTTACTAGAATTTGTACAGATGGCTCTAAATATTGCTTTCCTATATGCCCATTTCATTCTTCTTCCTGCTCTCTTCCTGAAATGAATGCTGCCAATTTTAGCCGATTTCTTCAAAGCAAAACATTGCCTACAAAATAAAGCAGTTTAAAGCTATCAAATAAACATAAAGCATTTTTGTCTTAAATTAATTTTAAAAGAAGCACTTAGTTCTAATTCAGAGGCAGTTAATATAAAACTGCCCACATAATAAACACCATGTTTCATATTCCAATGTATGTGTATACACATAGCACAAACTGAAAGCCTACAATATAACCAGTCATGAAGATACTCTGGATTTTAGATATGTTCTATAGGGGAGAGGGAGAGAACCTGGAATTAACACTAATAATTTTAGCATAGTGTTCAGCACAGTAATACCAGTATCCACCCATGGGGCAGGAGACAGAATTAGCAGCAGTCACTAAACCAGGTGGTTTTTAAGACAGCCAAGATGAGTCAACACCTGGTAAAACAATGGGTGACACTAACAGTGCATGAGCAATCTTCCACTCAATAATATTTTACCTTCTTCCTGAAGGGCATCATACCCCCCTGGAGAAGAATGGGAGCATGTACAGGTCTGCAGGAAAAAGGGAATCTGTGCTGCCAGTAATGTCCATTCCATTGATAGACAGATGAATTTAGTTAGCCCAGGGATTCCCAACTGCATTCAGTGCTATCATGCATTAGATACATCCAACAGCAGGGGGTTGGACCTGATGGCCTTCATGGCCCCTTCCAACTCTGCTATTCTATGAGTCTGTATCAGTGGTCCCCAGAACTTTTCAGACTGCTACCCACTCTCCTCTCAGACAACAGCCCTAGTGACCCCACACCTCTTTCTTTGTATTAGGTCAACTGCTGTACTGGAAATTTAAAACAGCCAGTCACTGCTTCCACTTGATCTTTCCACTGCCCCCTTTGGGAATCATTGCTATAGGTGCTTCAAATAAGCAGTTATTTACAGTACAGTTCTACTGTGGGCCAAAATGAAAGCCCAAGCCATTCTATCCTAAGCTATTTGTCTTTCTTGACTGATGATGTGAGTCTACTGTTTTGACTCATCACCCACAGGAACTGGAGTGATGTTGCCAGCATTTCTGACTTCTCTATTCCAAAAGAATCCAATATGCATTTTACAGCATAGCAGAGTCAGTGAGTCATCCTACAGGGAACAAGGGAGATTGAACAGTACAGTTTTAACAACCCAAGCCAGATGTCCTGGTCTCTGTGAGTTAAGTTGGCTAAAATATGTCAAAGGACACATTTGATGAAGGAAACTTAATACCTGTTTTTCAACTAGCAAGCACTGTTACAGAGAAAAGTGATTGGAATTTACCAGAAGCCTCAATTTCATTCTGGCTACATGACAAGTCATCCAGACAAAGATCTATCAGGAGAACATGTCCAATATCCGTAACCACAGCAGCCACACCAAACAGCCACCTAAGACTTTGATGCAAGTGTTGTGTTGTCAAGCTGGCTCCTCCATGGTTAATTATGGGTTCTATAGCAGAAACCTAGGGGGGAAAAGTAAAGTTTATTAATGTTTTGACACATATATTCTATTTGGTTATTGCATTTTTAGCCCAGCTTTATCATTTAGCATTGCATTTCCTTTCAATTTGGCCAAAAATCCCAGTGTGGCTCCCTCTGTAGCTATCATTCATGTAATTAAATTTTATTGTTATAATTTACAGTAAGCTAATCTACACAAAGTGTTTGCCCTTGCTACTCACTTTTTACTTGCTAGTTTATTTCCAATTAAATAAAACTGTTCATCTTTTAAAGTCAACCGAATTCACTTGTGGGGAGAAGAGATTTTCCAAGTCAAGAGGAAGCAAATTTTATCTTTTTGTAATTATTCTACTGAGGTTCTTAACACACAGAACAAAAATGTTAACCCAAAAAGGTCATATAACACAGAAACAGATTTCTCAGTGCACTTATCATTTACTGCATTAAAAATGTTTTTACTGGGCCTACCGGATATTATCATTTTTGCTGTTATGTTTGCTAATTTTTCATTTTAATTTCATTTATTTATTTATTAAAACATTTCTATGCCACCCCTTGCCGAAGCATGTTTCTATTATTACATTGTAATTTTACTTTGATTTTAAACTGAGCATAAAAGGTAAAGGTTTCCCCTTGACGTTACATCCAGTCATGCCTGACTCTAGGGGGCGGTGCTCAACTCCGTTTCCTAACCGAGGGAGCCAGTGTTTGTCGGCAGACAGTCTCTGTGGTCATGTGACTGGCATGACTAAACACCGAAGTGCACGGAACGCTGTTACTTGCCCACCAAAGTGGTACCTTCTCATCTACATGCATTTGCATGCTTTTGAACAGCAAGGTTGGCAGGAGCTGGGACGGAGCAACGGGAACTCACTCTGCTGTGCAGATTCAAACCAGCAACCTTTCAATCAACCAGCCCAGCAGCACATCGGTTTAAACCACTGCGCCACCTGCAGTCCCTAAACTGAGCATAGTCCTATAGAAAAGCTTTAAGAGTCTAATAAATAGAACAGTAGCTTCATGATTCAAAAATCTCACCTGTTGCAGACTCTTAAATACTCTCGCAACAGATCCAGAATATAGAATACTAAAAGCAACATGCATGGAAAATGTGACTCATGTAGTTCTAGGTAATTTTCCCTACATGAACAAGTTCACATGATTGATCCTGCATACTGAATTAAGGTGTGCACTACGTTACAGCACCATGTAACATAAATGGATTCTCTCAAGATACTGAACCAGGTCAGTATAAAATAACATAGTCCACTGTGAGTTATGGTTTCAGTCACAAAATAATGTTAGGGCAAATGCTTAAGATAAAGCAAAACCTGAGAGGAGCAGTTAACAAAGTAACAGATTTGTTTTAACACTCAGGCCTAGGGACTGCAGTCAAGAGGTTAACTATCATTCCATAAGGCAGAAATGTTTCAGTGAATTACTCAAGTAATTTACAGTATGCATCATTATCATGTGCCAAATCCTGCCTCTCAAATATTTCCCATGCTTAATGAACACCAATATGTGGGGCAGGGGATTCCCTCTCTGGGTGCTCTTTGCAATTTTGGTTTACTTTTGACATACTTGAATAATGAGGTTAAAGAATATTAATCAGCAGAATTATTTTAAAGCAACTATGACTGAAAATTAAAAATCACTGAAAATTAAAAATCACAACCAAGTTTTATACACTATCAAAACAAAAGCAGAGATTATTTCAGCAGACCAACCATAGCTCTCACAGTTATAAAAATAGGGAAGCACAACGTTTTTGTAGATACTTTCCTATCACCAGCAACATGAAGCCCCAGGCTCCAAGCCCTGCTCCTAAATATTGTGTGCACAATGACCTAAATATATTTGTCCTGAAAATCCAAGAGCCAAGAATGCCAAATATTTTAATGACAAGGTTTAACACAAATTTGTTTTGCAAATAACTGCACATGCACCAACTAATATCCTCAGCATTTAAACTTCTGAGTTTTTTTGAAACCAAAGGACATAGCTTAAGAAAATTCCATTCTGCTTTAATCTCTGCTTCCAACTCTTATCTAAGCTAAGCAGACAGAGGATAACAAAGAAAAGAAGGAATGCCAAAGTAAGAGTATTTTCATTACAGTCTGTGTAAACAAACTCGAAGCAAATTTCATTTAGAAGACCAAGCCATACAAATAAAGCAATATTGCACTATTGACATATTGCTTGAATCTAACATAATATGAGATGGCCTAAGGGACTGTCCATAGATATACCTACAGCAGTCCCTTAAAAATGTCTTCTCAAAATAAAGGGGCCCTTAGCAGCAGCTACAAGAGTGCATCCTCCAACAGGCCAATTCTCCCTCCTGAAAGCCCCCATAGCCAACCTAATGCTGATATCAATGTTCTTCTGACCCTCAGGCAGGCTTTCAAGAACCACAAAAGACTGCAGATTTCTCAAGCATAAAGCTTTGTTGCCAGAGTCTAACCTAGCAGAAGCACAATATTCCTGAGATACAGAACAAAGAGGCAGAATTAAAAAAATATATTTTAAAAAAATCTACTCCCTTCAAACTGATGGGAAAGGAAATTCAGTTCATGGTAAAGTGTGAAAGGGTTGCTTTACACTTTACAGGGAACAAACATGTGCTTTTAAAATAGTAGTACACATAGCAGATTATAGCAAAATCAAAGATCCTTTGAATGTCTACACCTCATTTTATTAAATGTCTGCTTTTACCTTAGTGTTTCTGCTAAGCATCTGCCTTGTCCTATTTAGTTTGCCCCACAACTATCTTCCAATGTTCACTTAACGCTGTATATTTGGATTCACCATTAGTTCAGCCTATTTTGGATTCACCTTTGGTTCTGGTGTCTAATATCTACTAGAAGAGAATGTGGGGTTGACACAAGAAAAAAATGGTAAGATATATAACATAGCCAAAGTCATGATTTTTAGATTTCAAAAGGCATGTATGTACCCTTCCAGGAAGAACTACTGCTTTAACCACTCTTGATATTCCAAGGTCGTACAAACACAGAACACTCCCTTCTGTTTCTTCCAAGCCAATTAATACTCCAGTTCTTTTCTGCCAGGAAAACTCTTTCACTGCAAGGACAGTGGGAGGCTGTTCAGTCACACCACTAAAACGATATGCAGACAGTCGTTCTCCAGTAGCTGGATTAACTATCTCAAGTTGAGGTCCACACGCAAGGTAAGCCAGTCCACTTCGTCCTAGAAGAAAAGAGAATAGTATGTAAGTGTTGTGGAGCTGTTGCGTTCAGACATTCTGGTCCCGATTATTAATCTGGGTGATGAATTTCACACAAATTGCAGCTTTTGAACAGTCTTCAAGGGTATCCCCATTCATTGCAGTAATATAACCTAGAGGTCACCAGAGTAGAGATTATTAAATTCAGGCTGTCCAGATAAGGGTATGGTTGGGCCATCGGCAAAAGCTGGTAGAAAGCACTCAATGAGGCCCTCTGAGCCACCAAGGAAAACTCAAGGAAGACCTCCTCCCCCAACACACATGCAAGCTATGAACCTGCTCCTTCAAGGGGAGTGCAACCTCATCAAGAACAGCTTGAACACCCTCCATCTGGTCAGAGAAACCACTCATCAACAGTATCTTAGTCTTTTCTGGACTGAAATTCCGTTTGCTAGCCTCATACAGTCCATTGGCACAGACAGTTTAGCACATCCACAGCCTCACCTGATGGAAAAGAAAGGAACAGTAGAACTTATGCTATCAGCATACCGAGAACAAGCTTCATCTTCTGGAGTCAACCATCCAAGTAGGTGTGCAAACACAGTACCCTACTACCAACTCAGACAGCTATCCCAGAAGAAAGTTATGATTAATGTTATCAAAAGCTGCTGAGATATCCAGGAATAGCAAAAGGGTCACATTCTTCCACCAAGGGTCATACTACAGGGCGACCAAAACTGTTTCTCTGTCTAAACTCCCACTGAAATGGATCCTACTAATTGTTGTCATCCAAGAGTGGCAGGAACTGGTTGGATACAACCCACTCAGGTACCTTGCACAGGAAAGGGATATTTGCTAGTGACTTAAAGTTATTAAAATATTCCAAACCTGGAGGGGTTTCTTCAGGACTGGTATCACCACCACCTCAATGTTAAAATTCAGGTTCAGGATGCCCTACCCCATCCCAGAGTTTTGATTATTCATTAAAGAAAATATGTGTTCCTGAAAAATGACTAGAAACCACTATAAAGGCATACTTAATGCTATGAGCACATTATTACCGCATCAGAGTATGTCCAAAAAGTTATGGTGTCCCACAAAGAAATGATCTTATTCATAAGCTTCTTACTATGCAAATTCTCCACACCTGGCACAGTGATCCACTGAACTGGTCCTTATGCTAGCTACAAGATGAAATTCAAGACGACAATGGCACTAAGACAAGGAAGGAGCAGAATCACAACCAAAGGCTTAGAAACAAATGCTTACTGCCTGGAGATAGACCTGGATTATTTGGCTTCACTATATAGGTAACATGATCTCCCTTAATTTAACATCTAAAGACAACATTTTAGAAAAGTAGAGTTCAGATCCTAGATCTCCTCTTGACAGAAATCACACTTTCAGTCCATGTACACTATATACAAACTCTGGTTAATGATCAGTCCTTCTAACTGTCATTTGTCTGTTCTGAAATAAATGCAGCATTTCCAAATGAATTCAAGAGAGTGCAGTTACAAATCTACAATCCAATATGTGCTGGCAAGGGTAGATGGAGAATGGAAGCTCCATTAAAAAAATATAAAATTTCTCTACTAAGGAACTTACAGCCAGAAGCAGAAGCAAGCAAGCAATCTGTACTCTCAGGATTTCACTAGCTGTTGCTGTAAAACCAAAAACTCTATTAAAAGAGCTGCCAAAGAAGAGCTACCTCTCTCCATTTACAGAATACCTAAGTCACAATCCCAACCCAAATATGGTTACCCAAAAGTTATGCACAGAATCGAACAATTTCTTAAGATGAATAACAGCAACAGAGAAATCCAGCATCAAGCAAGTCCAGTTTTCATTTTAATATTCAAAATTGTCAAGACAGACATTCTGGAGACAAAAGCCATGAAGGGAAGAACCAACTCAAGCTCTCTAAGGGAGAAGAATTCCAAAAAAACTATATACTTTTACAGATCTCACAAGGTAAGGTGGAGCACACAGTAGAACTGCACTTATTGTTCTTAAAAATATATAGAGAGGGAGGTAGTCCCAAAGATATAGGTTGCAGAACATTGGCATGATACATTTTAAAAGCATAAAGACCTTGAATTGGGCTAGAAGCTAAGTCAATGAGATAGTTCACAAAAACTGGAGTGATTTCTTTTTCTTTGAGAATCAATACATGGGCTGCTGCATTCGGAGTATGCCAGTGTTGGGCAATCAACAGCAAGAGTTACTGTTGCATGAATCAGAGGGAAAATACAGCCCCCCTTACCCACACAAAGCTAATCAAAGGGTGTTCTTAGGCACCAATGCCACTTATGCCATTTCACAGTCTGGCTGCAAATAAGGGTCAAATTGCATCCTCAAAGCTGTGCATTTGTTTTTTCATGGATAGGGACTGTGACCCTATCCTAAACAGGTGAAATCTTTCTTCCCAGACCCACCAAACAATTATGACAGGATTTTGGTAATTTTCTATTGCAGATGCAACTATTGCAGCATTAGAACATAGAAGATCACCCTTGCTGCATCCAGCCCACCGTTTTGATACTGACTGACAACAGCTCTTGAGGGTTTCAGGCGGAATTTTTTGAGCCCTACCTGAAGATACCAATGATAAACTTTCTATGGGTAAAGCAGGTGCTCTGTCACTGAATTATGCTCTTTCTTTTTATGTACTCCTTTCCCACTACAAAGGAAAATAAACACCAGTACTTTCCATAATACTGCTCTGCAAACACTTTTCTGCTGTCAGATTATGTAATATTTTAGTTTTGGGGGCAGCATTACGTTCATGTCAAGTACAACTCCTTTGAATTGAGTGGCCAAACAGCTTCGTGCTTTGTCCTGTTGGGTCCCTGATTTTACTCTGATTCCTTTTGAATGTCACCCTCCCTCTTATCATCTCCCCAAATCCCACAAAACATATGAATTCTTGGCCCTCCCCATACTCACTCCTCAACTGTTTCTCTTTTCCACTTGCTTCCCTCTCTTTAATGTCCTCTTCTATGGCTGCCTTCTTTCTTCCATCTATTTTACCTGCTCCTCCACCCTTCCTGTCTGGTGTTTCTTCTATGAGTACAGTCAGATGCTTCTCACTTCCACCTAGTAGCTCACATCTTGGAACTACTCACTGAGGGCTGCTGTGCGGTAGGAGGATCTTGAAAAGGACTGTGGGTTGGACAGATATTTTCTACTGCAGCCCCCAAGTGTATCCTCCTTATGTCAACTGCTAAGTTCTTTTGCTTGGATCCAATGCAGGCCCCAAGTGTATCCTCCTTATCTCAGTTGCTAAGTTCTTTTGCATGGATCCATGCAAATGGGCACTTGCCCATCAATTGAGAATTCAAGAAAATTGTCCCTCTATGGATCCAATTGTGCAATTTCCTTTTTCTAGCTGATAACATCCTACTTTGTTCTGCGGATAATATTTAGACATATACTTAAGTATTAGAACACTTGTTGCAGGTAAAAAATGAAGACTTTACCGCCAGTGAATTTCCCATGAAGTACACAGTCTATCGTTATCTCATCTTCCCCAAGTGCTTGTACTGTCACTTCTGGAAACTGCAGCAGACTGCTGGTTACATGAGCTGTTAGGTCTCGCATGATTCACTGTAGAGACACAATAAGAAGTTTATTCAGCCAGCAGTCAGTACCAGTGAGTTATTACAACTACAATACTCATAGCTTACAGCACTTTTATTAAGTACTACAGGAGTTCAACTTCTGAAGTCTACCTAAATATGCTTATTTTGTAATGATACACATTTGCACTGGGTCTCACATTTCTAGCAAAGTCTGGAGGAAGTGAAAATATTAAATTTCAAGAAAGAAAACTGTAGGAACAAGAGATAGCAGCTACAGAGGTACACAGAACTCTCAAGCTCAACTTCATTCTGAAGATATCCTTTCCCATGCATTTATGCTTTCCTCTGCAGCTATAGGCTAAAACCTTTGTTCTAGTTACAATTAATTTTCTATTAAAAGAAAAGCCAATATTTTCAGATACAATAGTTAATACAAAAAATGTAAATAGGAAAGACATGCAAGGATAGTACACCAATCAAAACAATCAGTGTTGCCTGAGACAGAGAGGGGAAAGGTAAGAGAAGAGGGACAGAATGCCGATAAGAACGCATTTTCTTATGTTGCAATACCATCTTGCCTTCTAAAAATTATTACATAAAAGGTAGGCAACACCAAAGATATGCAACTGAGGAGGGAAGAAAAGTCTGAAAGAGAAGAGAAAACAGTGCAGAAGTCACTTGTATACAACAGAATACTCTTCAAGCTGCTATGCCAGAGCATTAGGGAGGTAGTGGACCTTGTCATGGCTGCCTATTTGTGGCTACCACTCACAAATATTGATAAACACATCAGATGACATGAGCTATGTCAGCAAGGTACTCATGTGGGGAAAGAGGAAGAAACTCTTGTAAGATGAATGTTGCGGCCTGGTATATCAAGAACAAATTCTGTGTTGCTTTAGAATTATCTCTTTGTATGCATATTTGGAATATTATCCAAATATGTAGTAGTGTCCCAACACTACTACACTCCCAGAAATGTAAATATACAGACACTCTCTAGGCTAAGTGGGTGATTGTTTTTCCTTCCAGTAAAGAACTATGGAAAAACCACATCCCATATGGTACATACAAAACATGGCTATTCATCCTTAGACAGCAGCATATTGGAAGTAAAAGTCATCTACTGCTTAGCCTAAAGATTATGTGTATCCATATTTCTGTATGTGGGTGGGGGGAGATGTTGCTTAATTTTTCCATGGAAAACGTTCACTTCCTTACATTCATTAGTAAAAATGAATGGATGCCAACGGCAAATTCAATATTATTAGGCAAGGTTGGAAGCTTTAAAATTGTAATTAATATGCGTCAGGTAATTATTCTCAGTCAGGTAATTATCCCCAGAGTAAGTGTGTCAGAAAAACATATATGCTATTAAAATATACATAAACATATTGCAGAGTGAAATGGAATGTAGGAATAGTGACAGAAAAACTGAAGGGACTTTAAAAACCTTCCTGGAAGAGAGCTGATTGTCACTGAATTAGATGAGTGGCTGTCAGCATGTCATGCACATTTCTTTGAGTTGCTAACTGGTGTCATCAAATAAAAATAATTTGTGATAGTCAGGGTGTTACAGTGGTTAGAATGAGTTTGCACTGAAGAGATCCAAGTTCTAGTTCCTGCTGAGCTGTGAAACTCACTGGGTGACTTCAGACCAATCCATCTACTGCACAGGTTGTTGTGAGGGTAAAATGGACAGAAGGACCATGTAAACCAACTTGGGTTTCTTGTATGAGGCAAAAAAGGCAGGGCATGAATTTAATAAACACGTGAAATACTTTCAGTTTCTTTTTTCCCATTAAATTTAAGCAATGAGGGAAGTATACATTTTTCGCAAGTATTCCAATTAAAATTTCAATGTAATATAACATTTAAATTACACTGAGTCTGCTTTAAATTTTCTCTCAAGTATTTCAGCTTTGTTTCGAAAATGCAAATAAAATGAACATGCTAAATTAGATCATTCTGCTGCAGGGGTGGGAAAACTATGGCCCTCCAGATGTTTTCACCTTCAGCCTCCACCAGTTCCAGCCAGATTAGCCAAAGATGAAGAATAATTTAAGTTGTGGGCAAAACTTCTTGAGGGCCACAATCCCTGCCTTGGGCATCAGAAAGTTTTCTAATGCAAACTGAGATGAAACATTTTTAGAAAGTTCACATCACTGATGAAAATGCACAAACTTCATCAACCAACATAGGCAAGTATTTCCTTTGTGTGCACTGAAACTGTTTATTTGGAAATATATATAGTTTTGAGGTTTTGTTTTTTATAATGCTCTCTCTTTCAGTATTCCTGTTAAATCTAGTTTTGGATTGCAGCCTCATTAGCTTTACCGTCTTTAAGAGAACTGTATAAGCATGCCAAGATAGGCAAGTGTTTTACACAGGTGCAAATCAGGGTCTAATTGGCTCTGGTGCAAGGCAAACAGGCTGTGAATAGTGCCATTGAGCTCATTGTGACTGCTGACACTGTAGGATGCCCTCAACTGGCATATTTCTTTACCAGATTAAGCCATGGTGTCTATGTCCTCAGTTCACCACCACTGAAGATAAGAAGGCCCTTGTTAGCAGCTTCAGTGATTTCCACAAGCTAGCCCAGCAATGTCTGCTTAGTCCAACCAGTAGCCCTTCTCACCAAAATCAAGATTAAATTTCCTCTAAACCTCTTCTATAGTCAGCATTTAGATTATCTTTACAGGCAACATGCCATTTACAAGTCTGAACAACTCAGTAAAAAATTGAGACATTAGCTGTATCTTTCACTGGGTTGGATCAAATTCTGAAGTTCTTCCAGCAAAACAGATTTCCCTTCCCACTGCAGTCCCTTTTCATGTTTTCCAAATCGCTTCCTGAGGGTTAAAGGACTTTCCAGAACAGATATGGAAGGTGTGTTGGAGGCTGCAGAGGAAGGGAAGCAAAGGAACTCCACTCAAGTGATGTTGGATTTAAGCCACTGTGTCATAAATCAAAGTGACTATGAATCAAATGGTTAACAGTTTAATCACAATTAATTAGATAGCTACAATATCTTAAAAAAATATTATTTTTAATCAGAGGAGAACATTAAGGCCCAGAGCCCAGCAATACTCTGTTCAGTTTTTAAAACAGTGAAAAACTTTGTAAAACTCAAACGTTCTGTGCTAAATAAGGGGGTGGGGGGGAATCCAGCACATCCAGAAACTAATTCAAGGAATAAGACAATAATCTGAAAAAAAAAATGTTGCTGGCCACAAGGACAATACCAAAGTACTGCAGTCAGACTAAGGCACTGATCAGATGCACACCCAGAAACAACTTGTTAAAGACAATGACATCAATAATAGCAGCCTCTTCTATTACATTACTATAGTTCAATAAAAGCATTACATGCCAATATCAAGAGCTTGTACAAAAGAAAAAGTGCAAAATTAAGAATAAATATATACAAGGAAAAAATTCATGTTGACAAGTCACAGAATTCAGTCCATATTAACTGACTCACTATCTCACCAAGCTTGGAATTTTTGTTGGCAAATCAAATATTTGATATTAAAAATGCATTGGGAGATTTAATATATTTTTTCAGACAAGTAAGTTAAAATCTTCAGCTACATACAAACTACAAGTAATATGCTACAATGTCCTTCAACAAGTGTTAGCAGAGCTCTGCACAATTTTGCACAACTTTTATAAGCACAATTCTCAGCCATTTCTGCAAGGGTACCTCTAGTTGGGTTCTCCAGGTGCACACTGTTTATAACCTAGTTTCTGCTCCCACTATATCATCTGCAGGAATGCAATGACAAAGTTCATAGGAACATAAGAAGATTTATCCAGTGCAACTTTCTGATCCCACAGTGGCCAATCCACTGCCCCTGGGAAACCCACAAACAGGACATGAAGGCAACAGCACTCTCCTGTCCATGCTCTCCCCTAACTGCTACATATAACCAAGCTGTCTCTAGTGCAGGAACTAGCGTAGCCATTAGTCCCAGTAGCCACTGAATCCTCCTCCATGAATTTGCCTAATCCCTTTTAAAAGCCATCCAAATTAGTGGCCATTGCTCCACTTTGTGGAATTGAATTCCATAGTTTAACTACGCACAGTTTAAAGAATTTCCTTTTATCTGTCTTGCATCAGCTTCATGGGATGATGCCAAGTTCTAGTATCATGAGTGAAATAAAATATGTCTCTTTCTTTCAATGCCAGGTATAATATTGTACTTCTACCATATCTCCCCTTCCTGCCTATCTATAAGCTTAAATAATCTCAGATATTGCCATCTTTCCAAAAGTGAGTTGCTCCAGCCTCTGGATTATCTTAAAGTACAATCCTATCTGTATTTAGAAAACTCTTACCACACCTCAGCCAGCATAGGACTTTGGGACTTCTCGGGGGCCAACTTCAGTCAACTGAAGGCCAGGCTGGGGGAAGTCTCCTGGGAGAGGGTGCTGGAAGACCAGGAGAGGTGGATGGCGCTAAAAAGGGAGGTCTTGGAGGTACAAGCCTTAATGATACCACTGATTAGCAAAGCGGGAAAGTGTAGGAGGGCACCACCATGGATACAAAGAGGGATTAGAAGGAAGAGGGACCTCCACAGGTAATGGACACTGAAGCAAGTGGGCAAAAGGGTATACTAGGAGGCAGCGACATGATGCAGAAGGGTTCTGCACAAGGCAAAGGCTGATTATGAGCTGAGCAACAAAAAGGGCTTCTACCTTCATGTAAATAGGAAAAGGAAGGGGAGACAGGTGGCGGGACCACTTTAAAGGGAAGGGAGGGGACCTGGTAACTGATGTAAAGGAACAAGCACAGATGTTAAATGATTATTTTTTTCTGTGTTCCCCCAAAGCAGGTTGGGGGAGATCTAGCTGGGCGGGGGGAGGCTAGATGAGGTTTGGGTTATAAGGGCACAGATTGGAGTCACCTCCCTAGAAGTCAAGGAACTCCTGAGGGCCCTGGATGTTACAAAGGTGCCACGCCCTGACAGGCTACACCCAAGGGCACTTTGGGAATTGACAGGGGTACTCTTGCATCTGTTG